CATTCATTTACACAGTGAATTTGGAGTAGTGATATACTCAGTAAGATGCAAGGAACAGCATTTAGCTTTTAATGATGGATGATTTTTTTCTCAATATAGGACTTTCGCTCACTGTAAAAACTCTAAGGCTATATTTTGTTCTAAAGATGGTAATAGGAGCTGAGGATATAGCTCAGTTGGGAGAGGGCTTGCTTAGGATGTGTGAAGGTCTGAATTCAATCCCCAGCACCTATAAACTGGGTGTGGTAGTGCAGTATCTGTAGCCCCAACATTGAGAGATGGTATCAGGAGGATCAGAAGTTCAAGGTCATCCTTGACTATATAGCAAGTTCAAGGCCAGCCTGAGATAGCTGAGACCCTGTCTTAAAGGAAGAGGCAAAGGGGAGAATGGAGAGCTTGTGCTGCGAGTCTTTTGCACTAAGCACATATTTGAGCTAACTCATTGATATTGTATTTACACAACACCTTGAATAAGGTAATTTCTTCATTCTCATCTCCGGCTTAGAAATTTTCTTGTCTGAACACCTCATAGAAAACTCACATTAAGCCAGGCTATGGTGGCACACACCTTTAATCCCAGCACTGGGGAGGCGGAGACAAGTGGATCTCTGTGAGTTCAATACCAGCTTGGTCTATAGATCGAGCTCCAGGACCAGCTCCAAAGCTACAGAGAAACCCTGTCTCAAAAAAAAAAAAACCCAAAAAATTGCATTAAAAAGGCTTTCATATCCAAAGAGGATAAGGTTCTCAGACTTGGAAAGTTCTGGTTTCTCTGTCTGCTACTAACATTCATGTCACCTTGACTTTGTCACTCCTCTTTGCATTCTTTTCCTAAGTAAAAATACTGGCACTCTGTTATTCACACCTCCATATAGATACAATAAGGTTATAGACAGAAGTGATAGAAATTTATTTAAAAACTAAATATGACTATTAGGGAAACAAGTTGATATGATTTTTCATTGTCACCAGTCATGGATGGAATTGCACAATCTGAGAAATGGAACGAGTGTGTTTCTTTCGGTTTGGATCTGGTGTCTTCCCCAAGACTTAGGTGATGAAGGCTTGGTTTCTTTTCTTTTCTTTTTTTTTTTTTTTTTGGTTTTTCGAGACAGTATTTCTCTGTATTGTTTTGGAGTCTGCCCTGGAACTCACTCTGTAGACCAGGCTGGCCTCGAAGTTACAGAGATCCACCTGCCTCTGCCTCCCGAGTGCTGGGATTAAAGGCATGTGTCACCAACGCCCAGCAAAGGCTTGGTTTCTATAGCAGCATGGTTCAGAAGTGTGGCTTTGGGGAGGTGATGGGATCATGGGGCTTTGTTTTTATTGGTCGATTAATCTGCCTTAGAGAAGGCCTTGTGTCTGTGAATGAATAATTGTGGGTAGATGGAGAAATAAGGAACTAGGGAGACAGCTTTCTTTTCCTGGATAATGTAGGATGCAGCTGGAAGTGAGCAGCTGCTACCTGAGGGAGTTGAGAAAGAATGGTTAAATGAAGGTTAAAACATGATAAGGCAAGAAGATATCTGGAAGTGGTTCTCAATTAAGGAAATCTACCATTTTTGCCTTGGGACTCTTAAAGTTCCCAAGGGCATTAAGGACACAAACTAGAACAGACTAGCAGTTCTTCTGAGTGTAGGCCTGGGACCAAGTTCTTCATCACTACCTAGGAGATTGTGAATAATGGAACTCTGCAATTTCAGACCTACTGGGTCAGAAACGAAGTCATTTTCACAAGGACTCCAGTGATTCTGATGGTTGCTAAAATTTGGGAACTAGAGTGAGTCTAGAATTCATGGAGAGAAAGGTGACTTGAATGCCCAGCTTGTGTTTAAAGGAATGGGAATACCTCACACACTGAACAGATAAACACTTGCACCAGGACCAATTTGTTCTAAGCCTCAGTGGCCTGCTCTAAGTGACTCAGCTATCACCCCATGTCCTGATCCATGACACACCAGGCCTTTAAGGACAAATGTTTTTCCTTCTGGATTTAGAGTAAGTCCTACAAACACTACTAAGGAAGGGCTGTGCAGGGCTTTTGTTCTAAAGAGAATAAGGGCTGAGGATCAGCCCAGCTGGTAGGGAATTCAACCCCCTTCCCTTAACTGCAAACTTTTACTCCTCTCTGGCTTCTGAGCAGGTAACAGTGCACCAAGTTGGTGATATTACCCCCAACTCTATGGGATGCACTTGGACTTATAAACAGTCATAATTCTTCTTAAGTTTTAGGAACCACACCCAGGCATGCTCTGAATTAGCCACATGGATTAACTATTATGCACATTAAATTCATAAGTTCCAGTGAGTTCTGTCACTTTGAACCTCGTTATTCATTTACTGATTTGGGTTCATTCTTCCTTTCATCCCCCCCCTTTACTACCTAGTGGAGGAGACAAACATAGTCACTAAATATTTGCTATGTACTACATGGTGATAAGCACAGGAAATGACTGGAGCACAGGCATGTCTCATCTTGGCAGGAAGGCATGTTTAGTAAGTTGATGCACATGTGGGGTTTGGGATGAACAGTGTGTGCTCTTTAGCTGGGGCATGGGATTGGGGACTACTTCAGGCTCAAGAACAGTTAACGATTTGTGGAATAGTTTGCCATGGGAAAACTTTTGAGTAAGTGTTCCTGGCCTGCAAGACAGAATGCTCTATAGGCCTAGTCATGTGTGATCACGCGGGCTTTATAGTCTACACCAAAGGATCTTTGTGAAGAGGGGTGACTACTAGAGGGTTTAAAGTAAGAGATGGGGGGGCACAGTTAAAGTTCCCTGCCGAGCTGTGTCTAGTGAAGTTGTTTTAACACGTGCTCTTGGGCTATCCTGAGGAACAACTGATCATTTATAATTTTTTCTTCACACGATGTGTATGTAAAGGTCAGGGGACTGCTTTTTGGAAATGATTCTCTTCTTCTACCACGTGGGTGGGGACTGAATCAGGTTGCTAGGCTTGGTGGCAAGTGTCTTTACCTGTTGACCCATCTCCGTGGGCTCTGAAGTTGCAATGGTGTAGGGTCTTCTAAAAGGGAACATTCTTCATGAGAAACCTTGCAAACCTTTACTTTTTACCTGTCCTGGAGCTCACTCTGTAGACCAGACTGGCCTCACAGAGATCCCCCTGCCTCTGCCTCCTGAGTGCGTGGATTAAAGGTGTGCTCAACCACCAGCTGGCGAGGCAAACCTTTTTAAGATGAGAGAGTATGAAGAGAAGGGAAAGGAGTTATAAGTCACAGGGGGTCTGTTTGAAAGACTCTTCTAAAGTACAGGAGAAGGTTGAGGGTATATAGTCTAGACTGAGTCAGTGTGTGTGTGTGGCAGGGATGGCGAGAAGGGGTGGGGTGGATCTGAGATTTAGGAGTTACAACATCGAAGTGCGTGATGGGATAAGCCATTATCTCATGTATATTAATTAGCAGAATGGGTAAGTGACGAGAAGCGGGCATGTCCAAAGCAACTGAGGTTTCCATCTAGTTTGCCTGGATGGCCTGGGCAGGTGGCTCCATTTCCTAGGATTTGGACGTCTGGAAGAAAAGTGGGGCTGAACTCGAGTATAATGAATGCCTGTGGGTAGTCCAAGCAAACACGGCTACTGTAGCTGGTCAGGAAGCCGTTGTGGAGCTGGGAAGCGCTGACTTACTCTCCATCCTGGAAATGAAGGAGCGCCTCTAGGGAGAACAACTTCCAGGCAGGGCAGCACCAGAAAACATGAGGATTAGAGCCCCAAGGGTGGCCAGTCAGTGAGCAGGTGAAAGAGCAGGACCTAACAGAGGGCAAGGAGAAAGAAAAACTAGGTAGGGAGGACAGGAGCATGATGACATTAGAGTGTTGACAAGGGCAGCAACAAGAAAGGACTACTGGAAGGGCTTTGGCATTTGTAAATCGCTGGTGCCTTACGCTGGCATCAAGTCACAGGTCATGGGATATTTTGGTATGCAGTGAAATTATGAACTGTGCTCTGGTGTGGTAGGGGAGAGGAACAGGTATGCTCTGGTGTGGTAGGGGAGAGGAACAGGTGATACAGTGTGAGGTAGCTTACATCATTCAAACAGGGAATTCCAGAACAAACTGACTGGAATGGAAGCATTATTACATGACCTAAAACATTCATTTAAAACAAACAAACAAACAAAACAAAAACCCACACTATTGTGTGGTGTGAATGGTAGGGTAGGGTTACAATAATGAAGATAAGTAGACCAAAATTATTTGTCAACTGTTTCTAAATAAAAGGAAATAGGACAAAGTTCTCAGGAATATCATTATAACTTTATAACAATACAATTCATTATCATTGTTTGGGTTAATATTGTAATAATTACACACTTTTTACATTATGAAAATAAGTCATAAATAGTGTAAAAATAATTCAGAAGATCAACTTCTCACAAATTAGGAACCCTGAAAGCAAGTTTTAAAAGTATATTAAAAACAAATTGGAAAATGAACCCAAAACAATTATCTCCAAATTGCAAATTAGAACCTTCACAGACAGGCCTGTGAGTCAATAATGGAAAAATTACAATTGAAATAAGAAATCAAACAAGGAAAGTTCAATCTTTGATATTTACACTACTGAGACAATGAGGTTTGCACCATATATACAGTGAAAAGATACAACACATTATTAGAATAACCAAGTACATGAGACTGGTCCATGAAACATTAAAAAAAACTCACAAGGTAATGCTTGCCATTTTTTCCCATTTCTCTCTTACTATGTATGTGAATTTTTGGCAATATAAAAATAGCTGCACATAGAGATGAACTTTAAAATGTAAAAAATACAAATAAAAATATATTTCCAAAAGATGAATCAGATACATACATCTTTTTAAAAAATGTCCACCCGAATGAAACATTTACAACACTATGAAGAATTTCCACTCAAACGCCAACAACATGTGAGACATTGTTCGTGAACCCAACTCATTAATATTTCAGAGATATGTCAGGATATCAACTTATTTTGAGAAATGTTGATATTTTTCTTTGTTGTCAAGAAATCAAGCATAACAAGGGCCATCCTCCTATCTCCAAGATAGTCTGCTAATCAGCAGAGTAGGCAGCTTATGCATGTAAATCTATTTTAGTGAAAAAAAAAGCTATTGAAATGTTTGTTACTACTGAAGTAACCAAAACGCTAAGTAAATTCACCACCAATCTAAGTTAGAGGAGTATCTCTGGGTGGGAAGATGTGTTAGGAGAACAGAAGTGGGGGCAGAGGACCTTTGTATCCTAACACAGAAGTACAACTGGCCAACCACAAGTAACACAGCTCCATCCAGTGAACTTTATGAGATAATAGGGCTTTTTTTTGTAAAAATTATTAAATTCTATGTTTTTGTGTCATTAAACATGAAAATAATCCAAATATCAAGAAAGGAAGAGAATCAAGGTTTCAGATGTCAGCATCTAAACTTCTGATAATAACCACTTTCGAGAAGATGCTGAACCACTATCAGAAAAATATAGTGGGAGTTAAATGTTAATTTTAATGCTTTACTATCAATATTTTTAAAGAATACTTGGAAAATAGGTACATTTCCTAAGTGACAAAAGTAACAAGGATGGTTTTCCATAGGTGCAGAGTGGTGATCCGACCATTTCCTTAAGCTAGCAGATACATACACAAAGTACACGTATGCAAACTGCCCCACTAACAATCAAATGCACAGAGTGTAAATCCCAAACCAAGAACTTTCTATTGGTAGGAGTTGGAGACATTCCAATATTCTTCATAGAATAACAGCCTAAAGGAAAAACCTCCAAGGCTGCATTGGATATTGGAAAAGGAAAGCTGGGGGAGGGATTCAGGCATACTTATGTACCGGTACCCCACATGTCATATGTAGACTTCTCTAACACTGGCTGCATCAAGCTTCCCATATGCTTGTCAGCTGAAAGGTGAGTGAGCTCCAAAAAGAAGGTAAATGAAAACTGATAAAGGCATATGGTATATTAAAAAGAACACAGAATAAGGGGACCACAAAGCACTTTTCTATATTAGGAAAGGCTGGTCACTGAGCTACATTTACAACAGTTTCATGATCTTCAAAAATGAAACCACACAATAACAGCTTAGGAATGCCATTAAACAGAGGAACGAAGTTACCCACAGTAGAGGTCCACTGTCCAGAGATAAAAAGGAAGAATATTTACCAGCAGCAACCAAGGCTAATGGAAAACAATGTTAAGTGACAAGACAACAATGGCATCCTTTAGAGACATTTGCTGTCTCTGAAGTAAAACCTGACCTTGACATGTTTCCAGTGGGTGTTCCATACCTTTTATCCTTAATTCTCCTAAAGAAATCTTTATGAAAAAGAATGCTATCTATAAACACATGCATCAACAATGGCAATCTGTTATTGATTCCTTTGAAAATTATTCAGTTCGCTGACAAAATGGATGATTAAAGACGCTTCAATAGTCCAACATTTACGGTTAACTCCTGGAAGTTAACCTAGCAATCCACTGAGCGCAGATGACCACCATCCTCCCGTTGTCTGTTCCGAGGAAGTACATGAAATAGACGTCTACACAGTTCTTTAAACGTGTCTCACGAGCAGAACCCCAGTGCACACACAGTCCGTGCAGTATTCTTTACAGGGACATGTCCAGTGCGTTAGTGATGCTTTTGTTGTTGAGCTAGTCTCATTTGAATCCCTCTAAATTTTAAATCATGATCCTTCTCAATACCTCTTTCTAATGGAGAGATGAAAGGAAGATAGGAGGAAATAGTCACCAGAGTGTCTTCAAGATTCTATAGTGGCTTTGTTTTTTGTTCCTCAAGATAATGTGTAATCTTGGGCTCATTTTTGTCTCCCAAATGATTTAAGACAATTTCTTTCATATATTGAGAAATATCTTACCCTAACCACATCATACAAGAAATTGTTAGAAAATACTCTCCACACCCCACCCCCCCAAAAAAACCCAAAACAAACCCATAAATGCTAAAGTGGCTTAGAAGTGTGGAATGTTGTTAGAAATTCTAATCTCAGAAATGACATAACAAAAAAAGATGACATCATTTTGTGTGACTGAACATTTGGTTACATGCTATGAAAGACATCTTAAGATCTGTTTTGAAATTGTATCTTCATTGTTGTAATCCTAAGCATGAATTAATTTCCCCACTGGTGGTGGAAATCCAAGTACCAAACTAGAAATGTTCCCATAAAAATGACATTTAATCACAGAGGGAAATAACATGCTCTAATGGGCTGCTAGGATTGCCACTCCACAGATGGAGCTTCTTCCATCTTAAAATAAATCATTTCAAAACATGCCACAAACTCGGCAGAGAAATGCCCATTCAGTCTGTGTAGGTATGTTTTGAGCAAGTTAGTGAAAACAAGACTCTTTCTCTAGCAACTGTATTTCAGGGCTTTCTGAGATCTCAGATTTGGTCTGCGCATAAGACAAACACTTAGAAATGTAAAAGCAAAACTGGAGAAATAAACTTCAATGTAGGAAAAATGTAGAAGAATCAAGTTCATGCTATAAAAATGTGATAAAATCTTTACAATAACTGACAGGTAAATTAGTCAATGTAAATCAAAAAGTAGTGAAAAATGCTTAATCTTCATATTTCATAATGATTAAGCAAAAAAAAAGAAGTCTCCCCATAATCTCTTCAATTATTTCAAACAAACAAACAAACAAAAAAAGGAGACGTTAAAAGATTATTTTTACCATTGGATTTAAATTATCATGGTTTGAAAACTTAAATATTCTTTAAAAGCCTATGAGACCCAAACTGAAGCAGTTTCTGTTCCTTGACTAAGAAAATAAAAAGTATGAGAAAGAATAGAAACTACGTTTCTTTTCTAGAACTTGTAGAAAAAAAAAGTTTGTTGTGGGTCAACCCCAGAAGGGAGAAAGGGACGCTTTCTGGCCACCTTTGGTAGGGTTTGCACTAACTCCCCTGAATTTGTAGCACAACTTATTCTGTTTGACCCTTCTTGGGACAAGTTCTCTCTTCAGCAACCTGAGCTCTGATGGGATGGTGTCTGCATCTTTCAATCTGCACAAACAGGGGCCTCCATTCCAAGGCTCTGCTGTCTCCAAAACACTGCTGCGATATTACCTCTGACATTTTCCCAAAGCACCCAGATCAACACCCGTGGGAAGTCAGTTCTTCTAGAAAAACAATTCCTGCTCTTATGGGTGTTCATGGTTATAAACCTCCTTCCAACTTGGTCACACGAAAGACAGTGCAGGATGCGGAACCGGTCCTCTTCAGGCGTCTTCACTGCCAAGCGCAGCCCAAGGAAAACAAGTGGCGGTAATCGGCTCAACCCTTTGGTATTTCAACCGAGGTGGTTCACAGGAGCCCACATTGTTAGGAGCTGTGGATCTGCAGTCGGGACTGCAACTCCCTCAAAATATAAGACCAACTGTGTGTGTGCTCTCCGTCAACTTATCTTTTTTTGGCAATAAGCCACGGTGTAACCCCCTTGAGATGACAAAAGGAACAAAAGCTCAGATGTAGTCAAAGAACTTCTGAGGCAGCATGCAAGCATCTGCATTTGCACAAGCAGGGTTGGCACAAGGTCATGCGGCTTTTAATTAGTTTCAGTGGGTGGTGTGGGCATGAATGAATGCTACTAGGGAACGTGTGCTACATGGTCATAGCTTTTGAGTCCATATTTGGTCACAATTTCATGTAAACTATTTCATGGCACTTTTGGTCCATGCAGTTAGCAAGCCCCAAATAAGAAAATAGCGAGAGCAATCGTTCTTTATCACTGATGTCCATATAAATACATATATCCACATAAAATAGACACTGATCTCTATTTCCCCGCAGGCTCCTCACTTCCGTAAACTGCCTAATTTCACCCGTGAGAAAAGATGGCGTCTGTGCTACTGTGAGCAGGGAGAAACAGTGCCAGTGAGCAGACTCCACACTTGCAAAATCTGCAGTTCAATTTTTCAACTATAAATATAAAAGGTGGACCATTATATACACAACTTCATGCTTGGAAGGTTAGATTCATCACTGCAGAAAAACAGACAACAAAAAGACACACGTGGAGTTAGTGATTCTTTGATATCAACTCCAAGTTAGCATTTATTTTACAAACACTGGCAGAACCTTGTAGTCTTTCCCCCTCCTCAAGTCAGCAAGCTAACTTGATCATTTGATGCTCCCCATATCATAATTTTTAAAACCCCAATTTATCACAGTTCACATCTTAGTTCCAACCCACATTTTTCCATTGCCAACCTAGAAGTATATAAGTGATTGTATCAGTCACTTTGCTGGGAAAGCAGAAAACTGTGATTTTATTACAAGTATGCTTTCATTAGTACACTTAATGATAGCTTCAGGCATTACAACATAACCCAATAATGGACAAAAGGTCCAAGCTCCAAGGCAGTATTAACCAACAGTTTCCTGCATATAGTGCACGTGGCCTTTCCTAGTCATGCTTCCTTTTTCCTATAACTAGCCTTGCCCAGAAAGCAGCCTGGTAAGGTAAACCTGCCCACGACCAGTTCTTATGTAGTGTGACAGTTCCCCAAATCTTTGGTTCCTCATTTAGGAGAGCTATCGTCATGAAGGTCCTTCCAGAACCACCTCAACTCCGAGACTAAGAAGCAGTTTTCACTGTGCTATTAACTTATATAGCAGATCTTAGAGACTTCTGCAGGATTTTGTTTTGTTTTGTTTTGTTTTTGAGACAGGGTTTCACTGTGTAGCTCAGGCTGGCCTTGAACTCGCAGAGCTCTGCCTGCCTTCTGGGTGCTGGGACTAAAGGCATGCGCCACTATGTCTGGGCCTTCCTGATTCCCTGCCTTCCTGCCTCCCTCTCTCCATCCTTTAGTTTTATTTAAAGATAAATCAATGAGAAAAGTAAAATCCAGAGGAGAGTAGGATAATGGATGCCTCTGGCCTGTTGTCCACAAGTAACTAGTTCAGATTCCCTGTTCAATAATTTCTTTAATAACACGTTTTTTCCCTTTTTCTAAGAAAAACTGCATGGGAATCCTATCATGGAGGATCTATATATAGTTGATTGTGATGGATAGATGTTTTCTTCAACAGTCTGACCACTGTTGAGGTGTTCATACTTTTGTGAACAGTCCTGTATCTTTGTTTCTCTAAGAAACCTAATGAAATTCATTAAACATCACAATAGCAGGGGACTAGTTGGAAAGGAAATCGGTGGGAGTGGGGAAGAGGCAGGAGAAGGTAATGGGCGAATATGATCAAATATATTATATAGATGTATGAAAATGTCAGAATGCACCCATTGTGTATAATTAACATATGCTAATAAAACATTAAAATTCCACAAATGTGTTCATATTGGTTAGCTCAAATAAAATAGGACTAACCAGAAATCACCTACCTACTTTACTGATAACATATCAATAAAAATTATTTGAATATTTGAGATATCTAAATTGGCTATCTAAGAAATCTGAGAAAATGTCATTTTTCTAATTACTTCATTGATATTGGGAGAGGGGAGATGTTGATTGGAGTTCATATGTGTTGTGTGGAGGTACTAAGCAATATCAAAGCTTCATAATTGGGTTATTTTTCTTTGTAGAAGAGGCTAAACTCACAAGATTCTTAATATTAGGTGAATATTTATGTGAACAATTCTGATTCTATCACACTATTTGTGTTACTATCAGGTTTTCATTTCAGGGGCTAACAAGATGAAAAGCCTTCTGCTCATTGCCATTACATGTATGTCTTCATGAAATGATTTAGAAGTGCCCCAGACCAAAAGCGATTCCAAGTTCTCAGTGGTGTCACAGTGAGGAGGAAATGAACTGTTAGCATCTCTAGGTGCAGTGTGCTAACGACTAGCTTAAAAAAATCAGCATCTTATTGCGTTACAGGGGAGAGGTTAGAGAGCAAATGGTCATCCCTGCACCGGATGGCATTACAATGTCTGCGCACAGCAGGTAAGTGGGCAAGAGGCTAATTTTACCAGGTGAGGGAAGAATCTGATGACCAGGTCTATATGCAGAGACCCCCTTGGCCGCAGATGCAACTGCGTTAATTATTTGATAGGCCTAAAGGGGAGCCTGGGATGCTAATAAATAAATGATGTTGTTATAAGAGAAGGCTTTTTTTTTGTCCCCAGCTAAGTGTGTGAAGCTAGTTGAGAAAGCAAATTACATAAGATTTCCTGATGGTTGAGTTGCTGACTTGAGAAGAACCCAGTGTCTCCTCATGTTTCCACACTCTGGCTTACATAGTTTATTCTAATTTTGCCGATGAAGCGTGGCTGGCTACAGTTACTGGATAAGCTACAAAGTACTGGAGATAAAATTTCAAAACTATCCAAGCAACCTGGATGCTTCTCTTATCACACTGCTATTTCTAGGCACTTCTTTGCCCTCTGGTAACCTGCACGCTGGGCTTACAGCATTACCATGCAAAGAGTCTGCACTCCCTGGGCAGTGCAGAATGAACAGAGCTCTGTCTACCTGCTTGCAATACTGCTACCATGACTTCCTGCTGCTTCTCCTTCCTAGCCCTGTTACCTTCCAACTTGCTGCTCTTGGAAGTTTCTTCATGCTCCCAAGTTTATATTACTCGTGTAGACTGCCGTATGGATTAACTGAAACAATATCCCTGTATGACAGGACATAACATACAGCCTTGTGCACAGAAGGTTCTCTGAGTAGAACCATCTGTACTGAATGCGTTCACAGTGGCTGCGGGCAGTCATGTGATGAGGACTGAGCAAGCCAATGTAAAGGATGGTGGTATAAACCTAAGCAGACACTACTAAATAAATCAAGCTATTACTGATAAGTGTTATGTTTATATTTTCTGCTTTCTCAGTTGTGTGACTAATATTGACCAGGTTCTACCATATATCTGCCTATTTGCCAATGCAACTGATATACAGGGAAATATCACAATTAAAACTAATTTTTGAATGATAGGAGGAGAGAGTTCATTGGCAGAGAGCCAAACAACCTTATCAGACATATTGCACCTTGCCATCACAAACAGACTTTGAGGTTTCAGATTATAATTTGTCAAGAACTGTTTTTGCTCATTGGTTTGGGAGGAAATCAGTAATAAACACATTCATTTAAAGGTTTCCCAGAGCTTGCATATTTGCTTTGAACTACCCAAACAGTTTCCAAGAACATCAAATGTAAAAGGTCTGTTCTGCAATGGAAAGGGCCTGGTCAAGATTAGGGTTTCTTCTTAGAAAAAAAAAGCCATAAGGCCTACCTACCTTTTGCCAGCAGCCAGGCATGGGTAATCCATCAGGTCCCTGGTTTTGAAGGGAAGAAAAGAATTCCTTAGGCTCCTCATAATGATCAGATATAAGTCCATGAGCTCAGAGACTTCAAAAATATTTCTATCAGGTGGCTTCAGTCATAGGCATCTTATACTAAGTAGTAACTCATATATTATATATATTTATTATTATTATTATTATTATTTATTTTGGTTTTTCAAGACAGGGTTTCTCTGTGGCTTTGGAGGCTGTCCTGCAACTAGCTCTTATAGACCAGGCTGGCCTCGAATTCACAGAGATCCGCCTGCCTCTGCCTCCCAAGTGCTGGGATTAAAGGCATGTGCCACCATTGCCCTGCCACTCATGATATTTTACCTAGTGTTAGATAAAATGAAGGCAATTCAAATGTTTCCAGACTGAGGACACATCTCTAAAATATGCAAATACAGGAAAAGCTATGTCTAATTTTGAAATGAGAGTTACAAAGCGTAGTTGCCTCATGCTCTGTTCATAGTACATCTTTAGCTATTACATCTGCGTGGTGCATGGTACCTCTTAATGTCACCAAAACATCTCGCAGTTATCTTTGCTAAATCAACCAGTTTCATCTCCTTGTGGTCACCATGGACAATGGTTCGTGGCAATGGTAATCAATGGCAAAACATTTCTATCTGAAGTTTATAGTTCTCCGAATGCCAGTGTTGTCCACTTTCTTATAGTCTAAGTGGATACTGCAAAATATACTCATTTGAAACATGGCAGTCTATATATTAGAGCAACTGCCATCCACAGTGTTCACCAGTGCCTCCGTTTAAATCTTCAGGAGTTGGTTAACATTCCAAATGAAGGTTTTTAAATTCTAAAAAATATATTTTAAGATGTAAGCATCTTCAGATACAAATGAGACTGGCAGATGTGACACAGTCGAAGGCATGCATTTTCCTTCAAAGAACAGGCTTAAAAGTGTGACTTATCAACACCCAGCAAACAAAAGACAGAGTACTCCATATTGATATTTTCTAACTATAACAATTGACTGAACAAGATTTTTCTATACACACAATCTCCTAAAAGACTCACAAATATACATTTACCCTTAATGAATCATGCTTATAACTGAAGACTCATGTAAGGCCATGCAGACCAAGTGGAGCATGATGATAAAAAGGTTTATTATACTCCATAAAATATAATCACACTGCCTATTTAATTGTAAAAAAATAAATCTAGCTTTATAACATATTTGGGAGAAATTGGTAATGCCAGATTGGTACAAGGGAAAGGATCAGCCAGTAGAATTTTAGATTTTAGTATAAGGAGGATTTTGAGTTCATGCCAATGGAGGAGGGAGTTTGGTCTATTTTAGGAATGTGAGTTTTAACAGGAGAGACCATTATGCTGGAAAGGTTACGTGAGAGAGAAGAGGGTTTAGGCTGCAGACAATTGTCATCTTCAAATGTGCAGGGCAGTTACTTTCTTTCCTGTGGTCTCTTAATAGCGTTGCTTCAAATTGGTTAACCCTTGACCTCAGACCCCTTGTTATGTAGGTTTGGACTTATTGATGGCCTGAGAAAACTAATGGCAGATACAAAAATACCTTTGTTTCTTTTAGAGGGAAGGAAAACAAATATAAGTAGGGTGGAAGCCCGATGCTTTGGCCTACTGGCGCCTTTTCATCATGTATTTTATCTAACTTTCAAGTAATCTCTGAATATTTACTGGATAAACTAATATTACAAAGAACACAGAGATGGACACGTCAGTAGTGAGAACAATGTTAGACGATTAATTGGCATTCGTGCTCTCTCCCCTCTGCAGAGCCCAGGGAGGAGCCTGCTCATGCACATGCACGTAGTGTGTTTATCATGTAAAGCTTGCTCCAGAAAGAAGCGCTTTGCACTGATACAGACAAACCCATGGTAAATGAAGGAACAGCATGCAGGATGGTAGGAAAGAGAAATACTGTACCAATTGGCAAGGGGCATCCAGCCCATCCAGGCCAGGCTGGCCTGGCTCCCCCTTTTCCCCCTTAACGCCACGGAATCCCTGTTTGTAAAGATTAACTCATAACGTTACTATTCCAAGAATTCATTGAAAGCAAAAAAATCTGCTAAAGAAACAACTAGAAGAAAAAGCTGGGAGAGGAACGATTTAGCAGGGACAGTAACACGCAGAGAAGTTTCACAATATCATGACGAGGCTTTGTCAGGAGACTGTAGCCTCTTCTTTGGAGGGGAATGGAACGGCGTTGGCTTTTCTTCCCATCCTACAGCCAGGCTTGAATCCGCCCGCATGGCTTGAGAGTTTACAACTAGAGTAGGGGGAATGGCCAGCAACGTGATGTGTAACACATCGGTGGATACTGAGCACACACTTCTGAGCACACGTCTGCAGGCCCGTGTACATGGCCCTCATGGGAAGCTGCTGTTACTGGTCCCTCTGGCCTGCTCCTCTCCCATCTTAACCCTCGCACAAAACATCTGGAGACAGTTGCACAAGTCAGACATACCAACGGGCAGGGTGCATCTAATCCAGGAGCGCCCTGTTCTCCTTTCTCCCCTTTAGGCCCCTTTTTGCCTTTCTTTCCCTTTTCCCCCTGTGGATACAAGGGTTTAAATAAAAGACAGATTTTATTTGGGGGGGTGTAAAATAAAAATAATTCAAAATATGCCTTAGCCAGGAATAGTCTGGAAGGGCATTTACCACTGTTTTCTGATATAGAGGAGACAACGATGCTATAAAACAAAGACAAAATCAAAAAACAAAAACAAAACCAAAAACAAAAAAACCCAAAAACAAAAATAAAACTTCAACTGCCATGGTGACAATGGATTCTGGCAGCAGGATTTATTGTTTATTTTCTTATTTATGACATTCAACAAGAAGAAAGAAGGAGACCAAAAAGGTTGAGGCATCAGAAATGTAAATCTGTGCTGAGCACCACAATATTGGAGTCAATTGTGAATTAGGGAGCTGTGCTGTGCACCTGGCAAAGATGGCAGGTGTCCATGGTGCTGAGGCCAGTCAGTGGTAGGTGGGCTGGGGGATGGGAACGGATACTGCACCCAGTTGTGAGTATCTTTCAACCTGCCTTTCCCCCTCCTTATTCTTTAACATATGATGGCTGCACAGACTCAGACGGAGAGGCAGGGGCTTCCGTCTCTCCCAGGGATGTTCAGTAAAAATATCTGGGTATTAAAATGGTTCCATTGTGTTTCACTTTTTCTCCCCAGCGAAAATAAAAGTGAATACTCAACCTTATAGGTTAGACAAAAGCTTCAGGTGCTAATACTCGGTGGCAATGCCAACTGAAGAAACCAACCTCTAAAAACCTAGGCAGTCTTCTTCAATCTCTTGTTGACCTTGTGCCAATTGTTCACAATGGTAAATGAGTTTCCAGCTCTCAATGCTGTGGATAGGGAAAGCAGTCTGGGCTCATTAAAATGAGGTAGGCAGGATAATTGCATAGTGGGAATGTAGCTGTGGAAATTAGTATTTGGGAATCAAGGTCAAGGTCGTGGGACGTCTGCATGGATCATAGGAATGGAGGAATTAAGGAAAGGAGGCAAAAGGAGGGGAAGGAAGGAATGCACCCCAGCTGTTTTACATTAACATACACATCTGCAAACTTATAGACAGGGAGTTGGTGCTGCGCAGAATGCAAAAGATGATACATACTTAAAGATAGATACATACTTAAATGAGAGCATTCATTCTGCAGTCTGGATGGCAGTTACAATAAAACTGAACAGTCTTTGAAGCAAATGGCATGAATATTCAAAGAGAAACGACAGAACAACATACACCACAGACATGTATGAGACACTCATTCAAATTAGTGCATTCATTCTGACAGCATGAGCCGAAGCTCCTCCTCGTTCGTCTCCGGTGTGCCAAAAACATTGCAGCAGAAGGCTTGGAATCAAAACCACTTGGGTTTCTTGAACACGGGGGAAGAAATTCTGTGTGGCTGAGTGGTGCATGACTGAAGACACACATGTGACAGGAAGGGTGAAGAAGCAGATATGACAGAAGGAATTGGGCGACACATCCAGGAGTAGGCACTCATTCCCCTCCCACACTAAGTAGCTTCCATGCCATGACATAAACTGAGACATTTTGGGTGTGCTCTGCCTTCCATGAAGCCATGTGTCTATCTTTGAGTAAGTCTAACGGAGAGCAGGTGTGTTGGTTGTTAAGCAGAATTCATTATTCGATTGGCAAGTGGGTTTAAGATTAACTACTCAAATTCAGTGATAGGCATTTTTTTGTTGTTGTTAAAAATTTAAGTGACCAACAAGATTTATGGAAAAGAGATTAAAATAATTTGTCAATGTTATTAATCAACATCACGTTGTAAAATAGTGATTATCTGTGCACCACAAAGTTGTCTATCTCTCATTGTGTGTATGAGCAGTTTAAATGTGGTAATTGTCAACATTTCTTTCTTATATCAAAGAAAAATATACACTAAGTGTTCAGCATTCAGAATCTAATTTTCCTGAATATAAATCTTCTAATCATGGAAATATTTTCTTATGGGCAATTAACATTTTTCTGTAGATGGGTTTGTGAGTTTGTGCTTTTATAAACTACATGGGTGGGGATTTCTCTCCTACACACTTCTCTTCTTCTTTGCAGTGTTGGCAAATGAACTGAGAGTTCTGTGCATGGACGTAATATTGGTAATTTCTAACTTCTTCAAAGATCATAAAATTGAGTACCATGTGATATTTTTTTCTTGAGTAAGATTTTAGATTCATACAGCCCACTAAGTAAATATAAAATAAGCGAACATAGCCTTCAAGACAATTTGCCTTGTCTTCTTGCACAAAGCTGATCTCAAACCACATAAAACCTGTAGTCAGGATTTACAATGTAGAAAAGAACTTTTTATGGCATACTTTTCCTTTTTTGTGAAGTGGGGGTAATGATAGCACCCACCTTAGGGTGGTGGTGTGAAGATTCCAAGGTTTATCATGTGTGAAGTCCCTAGGGAAAGCACTTCACAGGTGCTCAACATATGTCTTGCTGCGATGGTGGTGCTTTGGGATGACCGCTGTATAGGCTCTTAGCAAAGAGAGGCTGAGTAACTTAAAACATAAGCAGTGGGCTTCATACCCTTCCTTTGGCATACCCCCTTTGGTCTTGCATCACAACAGGTAAGAGTTTCACTGGTCAAGAGAATTTCCTGGGTTTCCAAAACACTGTATTGCTATGTGTATCAATCAGGGCGTGAATTAATCTAGGGGGGAGGACTAGTTTAAATTGGAATCATGATGTAGATGTTCAATTTCTTTAAGATTTTCATCATTGATTTTTTTGTTTGCTTCATCCAATATAAAAACTTATTTGATTGGCTACTGGATTAAAGACTACAGCAAATGAGGGAGGGAGAGGGGAGGAGAAGAGAGAGAGAGAGAGAGAGAGAGAGAGAGAGAGAGAGAGAGAGAGAGAGAGAGAGAGAGAGAGAGAGAGAGAGAGAGAAGACAGAATAGAACTAAAGAGAAATGGAAAAAGTGATGCTTAAAATGTAAAATTCAAACTTTTCTTAACTTTTCATGTTGCTTGATAGTGGCCCCTATAACCTATGTAGCTGACTGATGGTCCCTAGAAATCTTCAATACCAAGCCATGAAGTAACAAATGTCTTCATTCAAAAGCCTACAACTATTGACTTTACAGTTTGAACAGAGTAGCCTCTGCACAGTGGGCATACTGTGGTCTACCTGTCACAATGTTTCTTTTTCTCTGAATTAAAAAAATCAAAACGGTAGCATGCATTAGTTTCTCTCTTAGGAATGTCATAATGGTAAATGAGATCCTGGCCTGTGGGTGAGATGGGTTTGGCCAAAATACCGTTCAGGTTTGTGTGCTGATGTTACTTTTGTGAAAAAAATTTCAATTCTCCCAGATATTACATTTAAAACAAATTGGTGTCTGGAAGTTGAAAGACTGTAGCTTTGATCCTCAGGGGTTAGAATCCTATGCTGGATGGTGCCCTGGTTTCTAGCTGAGTAGCCTTCTTTAGTCCTCTTTGAAGACATGATTCCTTAGATTAGCCATCTGTATGTTTTTGGAACACAGGACCGAGACAGGAAAGGTGAATGATGGAATCACACAGGTTCAGCTGCGGTGCAGACAGTGCTAGCAGAAACACACGAGGTGCATTCTGGGAGAAGTCACCTTTTCTCCCTTTTCTCCCAGGTCACCCTTCTCTCCTCGAGGACCAGGGAAGCCCTAGAAGATAAAGAGCAAACTCAAGTTATCTATTGGTGTAACTATGGTTAAAATCACACGGAAACCAAAAAACACCACAGCCACCACCACAGTTCATTGGTCTGAACTCAGATATGAAAATGGACATGTCAATCTTTAAACTTACAAAGAGAAGTAGCACTTAGAAACAGTACTTTCTACCATTTCAATGAGCTATGCATAACAGGTTTCTTGCCTTTTTTTTTCTCCTAGAAAATACAGGAGAAGGAACACAAGAATATTAATTTGAATCCTGGCACATTTACTAATTTGTGTGGGTTTGGGTCAATCACTTACCTCTGTCCTTTAGTGCCTCAACTATAAAATACGGTTAATGACTGTCACACAGCTGTTGTGGATATTAAATGAGATGGTGGAAGCAAAGTGCCAGAATGATGCCTGCACATAGTAGGTTCTCAATAAGCAGTAGCTATGGTAACTTCATTACATAATACCGACAAGCTGTGACTGTTCTTAGAGGCATTTACTTTTGATCATCTGTATTTATATAGCACAAAATGCTGTATTTATATTACATAAACTATAATATTTTAGCATAAGAGAAAATGTACATAGAAAATTAATGGAAAAAACCACTGCATAAACAGCTTTGACAAAACACCATTCCCCAAGGGCAGCACATGAGAGGCAGACTGATTGGACACATAGTCATTTTTTCCAAAACTGGGTCATGCTGATGCTAAGTATTTTTAATTTAAGAAAGGATTTTCAAGTACTAGTATTCAGTGTCAGTTACTAATTTTATATTTTCCTTTGTTTATCTTATGCAAATACAGTGTATTTTATATTGCTGTCTATGTGCACAGTATGTATATATATGTACATATATGTATATATGTGCACATGTGTGTGTTTGTATAATGCATGCACAGACAAAATACTCTGTATTCTTGATGTTCCCTGATGATGGAGACCATTGTCTGTGTCAATTATAATTGAAGGATGCTTGCTGTGCAGATTACTTACATCAAGACCAGGCTCTCCATCTTTGCCCTGCCAAAGAACCATAGTAGCTACATTAGTGTTCCTAAGTTTCACCAATAGGTTCTTGTTTAAGGCTGCTCTGGGCATGCAACATTAGTATTAAAAAGACTATGCTAGAAATGTGAAAAAGGCTTCCTGATTAGTCAAATTGCTTTAAATCAAATGAGGGAACTGTTAGTTGAAGTTATGGGGCATGAGGGATTTAAATTCTTTACTGGGTTAAATAGATAAGGTTGCTCAAATTCTATGCTTGCTCTGTGACTTAGAAGTTCAATAAGGAAGTGCAAAACAAAACAAAAAATGTTTAGTTGAGTTAAAACACACACTAGCACTAACAAAAGATGTTGATCAATGCTCCTTTAATTTGACAACTCAATTAATGGAGAACCTAGAACCTGCTTATCATTAAATATCATTTGAATTTGGCTAGACAATCATCTTGAATATAAGGAGGGTGAACATTGCAACTGCAAGAGATGATTTTCAGTGAGCTTTGTAGAAGAGGAATTCCCAAGAGGGTGGTCTAAGACTTGTTACACAAGATGGTAACTTCACCCCAGCATGGTGGAAATGCTGGATCAGATTATGTTCTGTCCAAGGCTCCCCACAGCTCTGCTCGTTCCATTAAGTACACTTTGACAGCTATTTCAAAGCACGAATCTCTTTAAACCCTGAAATGATTGTAAATGAAGCTTGCTCTCTGAGTTCATAAAAAGCCTGTGGAGAGCACCAGCAGGTTAGAGACCTAAGTGCAACACGTGCTACTTTGAATCCGACCCTGCACAACTGACTGGGACCATGTCTGCACAAACCTGTGACCTCAGTTTGGTTCTACATAGCTCAGAATTTTAGAAGACAGAGCACTGGCAACCTTCTATGTTCTGGCAATCATCCATCCTCTCAGGAATTCAGACAGGTAAGAAACACTGTCATCATGAATAGCAGTTCAATTTGCAAGAGAATTTTTTTTTTGCTAGTAATCTATGAGACTAGACAAGGAATGAAGGTTGTTCTAAATGAAATGTTCACATCCAATGGGTATGAGTGACCCTTCAAGGGAGTGCCAGTTATGGATGTCCACTCAGACGGCATGGGAAGGGTGCCATCTGACAGGTACAACCTTGCTTTCCAGATTAGCCCCTTGCCTCTGATCTTCAGTCTCAGGACATGCTTGGGGTGTCTCTATGGACAGAGACCACTTGACACTGAGTCTGACCTGTTTGTACTACAGAATTCTCTGTACTGTGACTACTCATAGAGATTTGTCTGCCCACTAGGGAAGAGTTAGACATGTCAGTGGCAGGCCACAGGAGCATGCTGATGGTGGCAATCATGTGACAGTGAACTCACAGGCAGCCCATAGGGCCCTCTGGGTCCAGGTTCTCCCACAGCTCCTTTCTCTCCCTAAAATGAAAAAGCAGAAAATTCCAATCACACACAGACCCTTACATTCCCACATGGCTCACACAGAAAGCCACCACAGAATGCCAGTGATTCCTACTCCTTTAAGGTTGGAGTGGCAGTCATCACCATAGCAGATTTTACTAGCTGACCATTGACAGGACAGGATGAAGCTGCCACTGCCCAGGAGTGCTAAAGGATTCCCATGTGTAGAAAGCTCTACTTGGGTTCCTCTGGCCTCTGTGGAAAGCATTGCTGTTTATTTTAAACTGTAGGTTCCCATCCCTTACCGGAAACGCTCAGGAGCAGAGCTGACTCTGGATTTGATATTTTGGGGATGAGGCACAACATAAACTACCAAACTCATTTGTTTTAGACATGAATCCTATACACATACCCTACAAGTTAGTTTTACACAATATCTTTATTGTGCTTGTGTTTGTAGTGTAATGCGTCACATGAGGCCAAGGGTGGAATTCCCATCTGTGGTGTTATGCCCAAAGGGTTTTTGGATTTTAGAGGGATTTACAATTTAATTTCTTGGTTTAGGGATATTTGGGCTGTACTGCTTTCTTTTTCCCCCACTTTTTATTTAAATTAGAAGTGATATTATTTTATCTTATTTTATACATCAATGCCAGTTCCCTCTCCCTCCCATCCTCTCATGCCCCGCACCGACCCCATCCCATCCCTCTTCTGCTCCATAGAAAGGGTGAGGCCTTCCATGGGAGAATCATCAAAGTCTGTCATATCATTTGGGGCAGAGCCTAGGCCCTCCCCCATGTGTCTAGGCTGAGAGAGTATCCCTCTTTGGGGAATGGACTCCCAAAAAGTAAGATTTCTTAAAAAATCTTCTCTCCTCAGAGAAGCCCTTTCTCGGCCACTCTCTCCATCTCCACAGCTGTACTTCACCTTCTGCTCCTTGCACTCTGTGAGACACACACAGATGTTGTCACTGTTTTCTGTCTGTGGCTCTCAATGGAATGGGCACACTGGGCTCCAGGACCCAGCTTCCATTCTATCAGCCATGTTTTAGAACAGTGCTCAGCGTATTAGTAGATATCAGTTGAAGAAATTAATCACATTGGGTCAGACAGTGTTCTACACATCTTGTTTTCTTTTTTTGAAAAGGAAGATTTAAAAACCTGTATGCCCTCAGCGAATACTTGGTGGGCAGACACACATCTTTATGTACTGTAAGTGTCCATTTAACAGGGTTAGTGTCAATGGTAATTCAGAACGCGTGTGTAGAATCAGAGTTAGCGGAGGTAGTCCATGAGTAGACATGATGAACCCCGTAAAGATACACGTTTCTTTTTAGAGTGTTTTCACGGGGCTTCCTCCAGATTAATGTCAGGGATGATGGTGATGCTTCCATGAGTTCTCCATAGAAAATTCTCTCTCTTTTATTGTGCCATCAGAGGGGATTAAAGTTTAGTCCATATATTTTTGTTATGTGTGTGGGTGGAAAGCCAGGTTTCCCTGAGAACTCTACCCACAGAGGCATGGGATAGGCTTTTCCTTCTCTGTTCTCAAGGTTTCCATGTGAACAGACATCAGGCATTACTAGCATTTTTCTTTGAAATTCAGGGGGCTGGTGAAGTCACTTCACACTGTCAGCAAAGAGACACATAGACTAAACGAGATCATCAGAGACAGGTATCGTTAAGCATCTGAACTTTTCTTATCACCTTATATTTGCTGATAATGAAACAGCAATGGCACTCGGGGCAGTGGCCAGGCTGTCAATAAATTAGATTTAAAATTGAATTACACTTCTGGATCTTTCTGGTGGTAAGGCTCCTAGAACTTCAAGAACTTGCTCAATCCTTCTGTGCTTGGGTTATATCAGTCATGATAAAATAGTGATATTCTATGAAAATTGTCCTGAAGATTAAATGTGATAGTAATACATGACATTATACAGTGCTAATAATTGATGTTACAATACACAATTAGAGGTCATCTTTTTAATGGAAAGGGATTTAAAGTGCACTAATTTAAAATTGATTTCTTTCAGATAGACTTGGAATGTTATAAATTTGAGTTTTAAAATGTGTGTGTGTGTGTGTGTGTGTGTGTGTATGCATTTGCACATGTGCACGAGTTACTGGTATGTTGGAAGTGGGGTTTAAAGGCAGGGTCATAGAAGGAAGCTAACTAAACAGTAGACCAGGTCTAGTCTAAATATCACTATAGAATCTCCTACCTCTCCACCCCTTCTCTACTGACAACCTTGGCTTGCTTTGTTTTAAAAAGGAACACACTGTGGCTTAGCTACATGGGTAAGCAGTTACTGCAGCACTTGTCCGAAGGATTTCTCTTCTAGACTAGCCTGCCGCTCATATCAGAGCACCGTGAGAAGTGGACCCATGAACCAATGCTGGTCATGGAGGCCCTGGGGACACTCAGCTGGAAACTCCATGGAAGGTGGTTCCCACTGAGATGATCTCCCTTGGGGGAAGTCCTGTCCTGAGTGACCCCTGGACTGGCAGCTAGGATTTTGCCGGGTAGAAGCAAAGCTTAGACTCCTTCTACTTTTTGGTTATATGAAACATTCCTTTCTTGTTCAGGCCACATGGAATTTGGATCTTTTCCTCAGCACCAAAGCATCAACCCTAACAGGTGCATCTGGGATACTCTTTAAACCCAGGGATTTGCATGTGTAGTAGTATTTTTTTTCCTGGTCTAAAACACCTTTGGCCGTCTTGACCTTCTCAAATTTAAAACAGCACACAGTTCTAAGGCCAGAGGAAGAAATCAGTATTCAAAACAAAACCACTAGCAGGCTTTCAGCTCTAGAGGGCAGACCCAGAAGGAAAGTGGCTAGAAGGAGAAATTGGTTTGTTTGATGGGACATCTCAAAGGAGGGCTCCAGGCATGGCTTCGAGTGCCCTGTCTTTACCCAGATGAAGGACTCAGTGGAAGGCAGGGAGCATGGGGACTGCATATAATATGCCAGTCATGTATGGAGAAAACTTGCATGCGGAATGCTTCATTTCCTTTAGGCTGGCTGAATTTCATCCAGGAACTTTCATTTGCACATCAGTACCAAGGACTTGTTCTAGAATGCCTGCCTTGCCCATCCTTTCTGCTTTGGAACCAGAAACATCTGCGGGAGCCTCCAGATGGCACCTCCATTAACCATGAGAGACACACTCTGGTCTGGCACTCGGTGCCGAGGGCACTTGCAGCATACTGACACATGATCCAGCTTGAGGCGACACAAGTGTAGCACTTCACACTGCACGCACCTGGCTTCAGCTATGCCCTCCAAAATTCTTAGAGACTTCATTTGCTCTTCTGGTTAATTCTGCACCGGCGCTGAGACCTGATACCCTTGAGACACTGTTGAGCCATCGGAAGTAGCAGCTGATTTACCAAGCAGCAAACCCTCTTGAGCCCCAGGGCACTTTGCCAACAGATCGCCTGAGCTTTGCTGCTCCAATTTTAGGATGGACCGAGTGTCTTCATCCAGTGCTTGGAAACAAATCTTCATTGGCAGAAGGAGGCTCTTTGCTTTGAAGTATTTTTAACGAAGCTGACTATCAGAAGTTTTTGGCTTGATCTTAGGAATAACAGTAATATATTCTTAAAGACTCATCTCCTTCGGGAACTCTTCTTGGATAAAACCTGTCTTCACTGGGGTCTAGCCCATATATTTGTATTGGCTTTGGTCTTATTCTCTGGTTATATTTTTTGCATAGATTTCTTTTTTGCAAAATAAACTCCTCTAGATTAATGAAGATAGATGCTTTTTTACTCAGCCCTAAAGGGGATGTCTCCTTCAAACCCCTCCCCTCAGAGCAGGGAACCCCATGGAAGAGGAGGCAGAAAGGGTGTAAGAGTCAGAGGGGATACAGGGCACTGAGGAAACAAGGTTCTCTAAATCAAAGCTCATATGAACTCACAGAGACTGAAAGAGAACACACAGGGCTTGCAACAATGGCTTCTGCTTTAGTGTTTGTATGGGATACTTGAGTGTGCAAATGAGTGGGTCCCTGATTCTCGTGCCTTTTCTTGGGCTCTCTCCCTTCTGCTGGTTTGCCTTGTCCAACTTTGATGTGATTGTTTTCCTTTTATCTTATTGTTTATTTTAATATTAACTCTTATAGCCTGTGCTTTTCTAATGAGAGAGAGGAGAGGATATGGAGAGGAACTTGGAGCAGTACAGGGAGGAGACACCATAATCAGGACAATTATGTGAGAGAAGAGTCTTTCTTGTAAATAAAAGAAAAAGAAAAGAAAACAGATGCTCCCTCTGCAGCATTATTTACATAGCATGTGTATATTTGCAATCATTAATAAAAGTGTCTGTGATGATGATGATGATGAATCAATTATAAGAGTATTATTCAATACAACATAGCTGCTTAGCAAGGGGGGTTCTTTAAGCAGGAGGAATGTTTCTTTCACCCCCAAAGGGTCGCATTGTACACAGTTGCATCTGATAAGCATTTACTACATGCATGAATTTACTTTACAGAACACAGAACTGGGGAATTAAAAGGCATGCCAGAGACATTACTATCTGGTCCTCTCTTTAAAAATCAAATTAGTCCAGACTGATGAAAACTCTCATTTTAAAAAAGGCCACAAACTCACATGGTGAACCATGATGCCAACATCATAAAAAGCTCATGTTCAACATACTTTCCTTATTTCATACAGTGTGTGGTAGGGAAACTGATGCCACAATTCTACACATGTGCGCGCACGCGCTCACACACACACTTGGAGTTTTCAAAGGTGAAGAAAAGAATAAGTGGGCAAAAAATAGAGGGGAAGAGGTTCCAGATACACGAGCAGCTGCTGAGGCTGCAGCCCATTTTTGTGTGTCAGATATTCATCTTCCCCAGAATGTCTGTCTTTTTTTTCCTCCCAGGATATGGAAGTCATGTATGGAGAAAACATGTATGGACTTAGAACAGCGACGCTAGTGAAAGGGTTCATTTCATAATGCACTGAAATCATTTCCTTATGGCTACAGAAAAACAGGTCACTCTTTAACTTACAAAAGAAAAATGAGAGCATGGGTAACCGTGTGGAGAAGAATATTTAGGTTTTGTAATTTCCTTTGGAAAAACATTATAATTTACTCGGAATGAATATAGTAGCTTTGTATTAAGATTATCAACCAGGATATGTAGTTCTGGAAATTTTAGCCCCATTGACTTCAACTTTCTGGATGAAGGCACAATGAAAATATCTTCCTTATGGGTTGAGAAGGAATAATGGGAGCTATTTATTTTAGCTATGTAAATGTATTCATTGTTTTCATTAAGGCAAACTGATTCCATCCTACACTGTGTGGTTTTCTTGTCTTAGTCTTAGGAATCTGAATAGGACTTCTAATGGACAACATTTTCATTTAATACTAGATAGCCTCCATCTGTCCTGGATGATGAACATTTTGAGATCATCTTGAAGCCATGCTTCATTTCCTTCAATGCTCAGCTTAAGTGTAATACTACAAAGGGAGGTAGACTTACTCTTTCTCCTTTGGGACCTGCAGGGCCATGGGGTCCTATAGGACCATCTGCACCCTAAAAAGAGATAAAATAAAATACTATGAGAAAAGTGAGAGACAAGGACAGCAAGAGGAGAAGTTCTGATTTACTCTGATTTGGCTGGGAGAATGATGTCTTAGGATAACTTATCTGATTTTAAAGTACTTTATTCTTGACGGCTTTTCATGCCAGTTATTTTTGAGAAGTTCATGCAACAGGGATGAAGTATCTAACTGCATGCTTCAACAAAGAGTATACATAAAGCCATATTTCGTAGTCATTTATTCTTATCTGATGAAGCATCTTCATTTTGCTCTCATCATTTTTTTCTAGACTTTTATATGTATGTGCTTGCATGCATGTATGGACATCGTGTGTGTGTGTGTGTGTGTGTGTGTGTGTGTGTGTGTGTGTGTGCAGTGTCCACGAAGGTCAGAAGAGGGCACTAGGTTCCTGGAAGTGGAGTTCCAGCTGCTGGTGAGCCATCGTGGGGGTTCTGGGAACTGAATCTGGGTCCTCTGCAAGAGAAGCCAGTGTTCTTAACTGCTGAGCCATCTCTCCAGCTCCATGCCTCCACCATCGTCACCAGGGAAGTATCACCATCCTTTCTTTCTACCTCTTTTCCCCAAGTCTTTTCTCCACAGCCACTGACACCCATGGCCAAAGCCTCCAGACTTTGTTTTTAGCAACTGAAGTAGAAAATGTATGAATGAGAATATTGTTTAACTTTCAAAACAACCTTCTGCAGCTCTTTTGGGAGAGGAGGGTCTGATGATGATGAGGGGTTCCTTTTAGGCTTTGCCCACAGCTTGCACATCAGGCAAGTCAAGTGACTTGACTGACATATGGCTTCTGTGGCAGAAAAGATAATATCTGGGAGAATGTAAGAACTCTGGGGTCCAGTGGAAAAAAAATAACTGACTGGAAGTTCTCAAAACTGAAAAATTTGATCCTTAAAGTTCTCAAAACTGAAAATTTTGATTCTTAAATATGTCATAGGAATTTCAAATATATTTGCTCTATTGCCAGGAAGACTGTGCTTACGGTGGTAAAGAGGGCAAAATGGTATTTGCACGTATGTGGATTATTGCATTGCACTTCAACCTGTCTAGCATGTTCCCATTGTTGTTCTTGAAGATTGATGGATTCTGTCAGAACGTCTGGATAGGAACGAATTCAGTTTCAAATTCTTTCTCATGTTGGTGAACTCCTATCATCCTACTCATGCTATTATTGCTTTTACTCAAAGTTCACCTTCACAAGGCTTCTAAATACCGAGTGACAATGGCTAAAACGTGTTTTTTTTTTAAAGGTTGGGTGGCTGAAAACAAAAATGTGATAAAAATGGTGGGGACACATGATTCACTTCATGAATAGAGACTGGGAGGTTAATTGTAAGAAAGAAATTACATTTCTAAGGTGGATGTAAATGTAAATGAAAAACAAGTTTGCTACTTCAGGGGTTTCTCATGGGATTACAGGGAAGACTTTGTGAATTGTTTTAGGTTGCTGAGACACTAAAGGCAGCTGGACCTGGCATTCTTCTCTCTTAGTAAATTACCCAGACATGAACTGCTGAAGAAGTCCTGCAGCTCAGCCTATATTTTCGACCTGCCACCCATTCTCTTCCTCCCTTCCTACCATCCGCATCCACCTTCCCCTGTGATTCTGGCCCTAGGTGACCCCCTCATCGTCTGCGAAGGCCACCAGGAACAAAGGGGTCTTTCCTGGAGCTCGCAATTCATATCCATGAAGCCCATTGGAGCAGGACGCGGGGCTGACTCACCCGGGATCCTGGCTTTCCGTCTAAGCCAGATGCTCCCTGTGTGATTGGGTTGGTGTCAGGGTTGGTGGGTGTAACACGAATGACAAGAACAGAGATTAGTATGAGGCACCAATGAACAAATGCAACACTTCAAGCAACATAATACACACAGTTCTGGGAGGAATATCACATTGCTACAAACAGTTAGTTAAAAAGGTCACGTGACAGTACATGCCCCACAGATGATGGCATTTTAGGGACATTCCTACCAGGAAATTCTTATCTAGGAAACTGGTAAATGAGGTTTATGTAGTGGGCTACAAAGCACTTGCTGACAATACATAAGAAAGGGAGCTCCTGGCTATCTGTCCACATGAACTTCATTTCCTGAAGACTATTATTCATGATATAGGTTCTGAAGAGACAGTAATGGAAATCTCCCAAGAAAGGGCTCTAGAACTTTGACTACACTTGTCAAAAATGGTTTTATGAGCAAAAATGCTGAACTTTAAATATATTGGGATGGCTTGATTTTACATGGATGCTATTTACGTGCTGACCTAAAAATTCACATTAGCTGCCACTAGAGGGACTACTAGGAACAAGAAAAAAAAAGTGGGCTCAGGTTAAAATAAGTCCCATTTTGTCCCTCAGTTCAATTCAGTGTAATCTTTACATTGATGTTTGCATGAAAAATGTCTTAAACACCTACATTTCTCAGATTAACGCGCTCATTTCTTTATTTTGAATTGAGGGCTATCCATTGAGGGTGCGGGGTGGTGGTGGTGATAAGATGGCACTTTCTATGTTTGTTGCCAGAGTACCTATCGTCCTTGTTGATTAGGCTCTTATAGATATGTTATTTCAAAGATCCACATCATGGAATGTTTAAGAAGACACTGTGTTAATGCTTTCAATTTTCTTGGCCAGGCTGGAGAAATCCCTCTCAGCGTCCTGCTTCAGATGCAGTTAATAACAAAAAATGAAAGAATAAAAAATCTGATTCCAGCTGCCAACAATGCTGACACATATACATGTGGGATATTTTGTGGTGTTTTTTTAATTTAAAATTCCTTCATTATGATCTTGTAATGGTCAATGCTATAAGTACAAAATAGAGCTTTTGGTAGCAATGATTATGAACAGTAGGCATCGCCATTGCTTGTTTAATGATAAGCTTTTGTGACACTTTTAGTCACTATTATAACATTTAAAGATAAATGTTAAAATAATATTTACATTGATCATGAGATTCTGTATCTAACTGGGGTACAGAACTGACGGCTTACAAATGTTTTCTGATTATGATCCATTTATCCAATGGGCACGATTTAACCAAAATTGTAACAAAGCTTACACGATTCACTGAATCAGTAAATGAACACGAAATACCCGCTGCATATGACTTACAAGCCATGGGCTTTTGAGTGGATGTCAGTACTGGATGCACAGTACCCATGGGAAAAATGAGATAGGGGACCACCAGCATTTTTTTTTTATCTCACATCCCAAATACAGAACTATTTTCTGTTACTGGTTTTATATAATATTTTACAAATGCAGCCTACAATATTACTTGCTGACTGTTACACTCATTTACTGAACAAACAGCATGTTAAAAGCCCAAAATTAAACCATTACACTTAATAACAAGAAGAATATTTGTATAAATGTATGAATGGGTGGGACCCCTTTTATTATGAATGAAAATCTTTACAGCTGCAGAATGTTTCTTCCATGCTATCCACCCTTGTCCCATGAATCTCACAGCAGGGGTCTCCAAAACGACAACACAAAACATATAGAACACAAAGTGGTCGATTAATGTAAGGAGCCAGGGCACTGACCTCAGCAACGGCCAATTGCATACCTGCCACCAACACAGAGCTACAGCTCTTATTGAGCCCAGGGAGATAATAAACGTGTCTGGGGGAGATTATGAAACAATAAACATCACTTTTTAGAAGAGACAATGGCGGAACTTGTCTGCCAGCCCCCAAGATCAAGGTTGGCGTGTATGTAATTGACGTGGGACAGAACACTTGCTGCATTGTTTGTTATGGGGTCACCCTGAGACACAGGATCAAGACATCAGCGAAACAAAACTGGGCTGTGCTCTGCTCTGACACACTGTGTGAACAATCTAATGACAGGGCTCTCAACTGTAAGATAGTCACTGAGCAAACCAGCATTATTACTGAGGGTAGAAAGAAAAATCTGAGATTTGCCCCGAAATGGAAAGTTTTCTTTACTTACTGGAAGACCAAGGGGTCCTCTGTCACCCTTTTGACCTGGTTCACCCTTCAATCCTTTAACACCATTTAACCCTGGTTCACCCTAAATGCAAAAGCAAATGCCAATTTTGGTTGCTATCATGGGTGTTTAAACTGTGAGAGAAGAGACCCAGTCTCTGAAACACTTGCAGATTCCAGTTTTAGGTAACAGCAGAGTGAGGCTAGATTGTTAGTGCATCAATTATAACTTAAGGTAAAGCTTAATAAGCTAGAGATGGCAAATAATATTCTAGAAAGCACGAAACTCAAGAAAAAAGATGTGTTGAGTATCACCAAAAGATGTATAGCTGACTTCATGGATTTTAGAGTTCTACGTCAAGGAACTTAATGTTACATTGTTTTGACTAAGCAAATCAGAGTCAATCCGAGTGGAGGATGCTGAAGGGATCAGTAGGAAAACCCCACTCTGCTGGAATTGAAAACTGGAATATGCAGGACAGTGATATAGACAGACGTTTTAAGCCTTTAAGCATTTTGCCCAGGAGAATGGACTGAAAATGTAGACACTGATGTTTGAAGTGATGCCATTCTGCAAGTCCTCATTCCCTGACATTGCCAAGTCAGGCTCCTGCATGGATCAATCAATAGAGCTAACCACAAATTGACAGTCCCAGAAGGCAATATGAAGATCAGAGAACCTGAATATCATTTCCCTGTCTGCGCCATGTTAGAATGAAGGAAGTACAGTTTAACATGGGATGACATTACAAGAGCCCTGATAAGTGGTAAATCCTCTTGTCTCAGTTTAGGAAAAATCCAGGGATACAGTATGCTGATTTGCCCATCAATAATAGCATTTTAGAAACAGAAAGTTTGGACACAGACACTTTCAAGCTTTTAATTACGGACACTCATTTGTCAAGAAAACATGTGAAAGGAAGGTGACCTCACTGTATGGAGGTCATGCTCACATTGGCTGAAGGGACTCTAGCCTGCTCACTGCTATCTGATCTGCCTGATGGTGAAAACCGGTGTGCTGCTCACTAAGCACACAGCGGACGTAGGGATGGCTGTAACTAACGGCTGCATAGACAAGAGTGCTAATGAGAAACTTGTGGGAAATGCTGAGGTGGATGTAGCCATGAGACCTATATGTTTGAACTTTCAGATGGCTCAGACACTGCCACAGCACAGTAGGCTTTGCAGATGTTGAAGACATGAATCTGTAGTGTAGCCACAGTTGAAAACCCAAATATGCTGTAATTGACTAGGTCTAATCTCGAGGTCACAGTGCCATAGTCAACAATGCACTGGTGGCAAAGGTTCATTGGTCACCTTTCTAAACTTGAGATTCATGACTTTGCATGTGAGCACATTTCTGGTGTGTGGCTTTAAGATGATGATTAGGCAGGGCAGATTCAGCAGGCCATGAAATTCTTTGGTAGGGAATCACTTATTGATAAGAGTAGATGTTGCAAAGTTCAATTTAAAAGTAGTCAAATCCAGTAGCAAAAAGGCCAAATTTCAAATCTGCACCAAATTCTGTTACCAACCTGGTCATCATCTATTCCTGTAGCTTTGTATTAAATACATGAACCGCACTGGGCTTGAGTAGCTTATCGGTCACAAAGTCAAGGAGCTAACATAGGTTATCTGAGGTCTCTTCAGTTTTATAATTTGTTAAAATCAATGATGGAAATAACTACTGTTGTGGAAAAAATACTTGTGTCATTTTCTGTATCAAAAGGATCTTGGGCCTCATCTAATTGAAAGGTTATGTGTGTCTTCCATGTTTCAGTCACCACAGAATTAAGCCAGTCTTGGTGGCCTTACTCTTAGTCATTATAGTAACTGATATACTATCCACTGGCTTGACCTGAAGGTAAGACATTCTAAGAAGGATGAGATGTCTGTCAACTCTTCCCCTTCTTGTGTTATCTTCCTGCCCCTGAAAATTAAAGCCAAGGATTCTTGTGTCAAGCCAGTATTGCTGTCAACCCTATAGAGCTGGGAAAACCAAAGGGGTCCTTGCCAACCCCCAGGAGGGTGGCTGCTCTGGGCTTTCAGGTGACTCGTACTAACACTGCATTTCAAGATGCCCTCTGGGCCTCTGTAAAAAGTAAAGAACAGGCAGAGATCATCTTTTCTGTGTAACCCACACTAGTTCTATCAAGGAGGACCTATTCTTCATTGCTCTTTTTACACTCAAATTCTGTGACATCCCAGCTGGTATACCTCATCCTGTTCTAGATTATGACCCATGGGAAGTAAAACACTGAGATGCTAGGTAGCCGAAGCAGGTAGATACTGCAGTAGTGCATTGCAAGCAAGACCTTCAGTTGATACTGTCGCCATAAAAAAAGAAAGCGCCTGGCTTTGTCTGAGAATGTCATCAGATGGCTCTTAAATGGCAGAATTTAATATACCGTGTGCTTTAGTGTATAGTGATGAGGGCAAAGGCAAAATGAGGAATGATTTGTTTCCAGGTGATAGCACTTAAACTCATTGTGAGTCACGTTGTATTGTGAGAGTGAAACATTTGAATGCTTAAAGGCTTAAACACTATCAACATAACTTGACAAATAAGTAAGACAGGACAGACATGCTTCCGTCATGCTTGCCCATGACCATCAAGGAAACAGAAATCAAATAATCAAGGGATTTGCTGGTACCTTTGGTCCAGGAAGTCCATGGGGTCCCTAAAAATGGAAAGCACAGCTTTAATTAAAAATGGACTCGCTGCTTCCTCCTAGAAATGAGTGTTCTATCAAGCATAAAGTGGGATGTAAAACACGGGTCTTCTTGATTGAGCTATAACCAGAGGCAGGTCAGTGGGATGTTATTTATTACCTACCAAATGTTCCTTCGAGCTCTTGGAGTGCTTAGTAATAGGAAATTCATTAAGAGCAGTTCTGTCTGCTCAATGCCTACAAGAGGGAAAAGCTGCTGGGGTTTCACGAAGAAAAATTAGGCAAAAAGAGAACCCCTGTTTTGTATTCACACTAAAGGTACTTTTCAAATTTCCATTTTATAACCTGGTAGAATATTTGAAATGATTCATGAACTTCTATAGAATCAAGGTAGAACGTAAAAGCCAGAAATTCAGGAAAAAATGTCTCCACAGTTTGAGTAGCAAGGAAGAGGAGATCTTTATCCTTCCTTAAGTCTTCATTACGAAGGTGCTGAAGAATCCAAAGGTGACAGGAAGATGGCAGCCAAGTTTGGGAATCTGGAAAGTTATTATTCATCTAGCTTAAGATCAAAGAGGGTAAGCCCTATGATTCGGATTGCATTTATTGTTATAGAAATGAATCCTTTAAGGCTCTTCTAATAGTTGCTTATCAAAGAAAGGAGGTCATAATGAATGCATGAATCAGGATAAAGAGAAAGTTGTTTGGCAGAAAATACAAATATAGAAACTAATTATCAATTTAAATTAACTGAAGGTTATTGTGGATTGCTTTGAACTTTTAAAGAGATTCTAATAAGCTATTCAGGGAGATGCATATTTAAATATCCATTAGTGAAATAAAACAGAGGGAAAAATAGCTGACCGTGTACGTGGAGCTATTTGTTATATACGTCTACAGTAGAGTAATGTTTTCCCTTTTGATAAGTTGTGGATAAACATTTTCAGGAAATGACTCTCATTCTTATCTTATGTTAATAATGGCTTAAAATTCCTTTAAGCTAATTAACTTTATCATTTGAACAGGATGTAGCATTTTCTAATTTAACCATCTAACTTAAAGTGAAAAGTGTACAAGAAGCCAAAAACATGCCATTTGATTAATTCTTACTGAACTATTTGATGTTAAGAGAACAAGGTTAATGGAAGTTGTTTACCAAAGAAAGGAGGCAATTAGTGAGACCTGGGTGAGCAGGCTACTCTGTGACTAGGGTCAGAGCCACACTGCTCTCTCTGGAGTGCAGTTACAGTTGGAACAGAGAGCGGCCACACTTGCCTTCATCTCCATTATTGATGTCTTCCGCTTTATGAAGACACCCGGGAGATGAGTGTAACCTTATAGTCTGCTGTGTTCCTCACTGTGTCAGAAGCACTCGGAGCGCTCTGCCTAAGCACAACTGTTGGTCCTCCAGCACTTAGAGAATCACACTTGCTTCATAGCTGCCTTTCTCTCCCTCTGGCAGTTCTCGGGGTCAGGAATGCTGTTCGCATTGCTCACTGGGAGATAACTGCAGTAAACATGGCTTGGCTCGATGAATCACCAGCAGAGCCATTAACACGGAAGGAGAAAGATCCAGCACTCTCCATCATCTGTCCAAGCCACCTTCCATCTTTATCACACTGTTTTACAAATGTTCTAATTGACTAGTTCAGGGAAGGGTCTCGGGCTTCAGAGCTGCTTAGAAACCCTCTTCACTGGCTCGATTACCTTAACTTGCTATTAACAGCCTTCAGCAGTGACCCAATAAGATGGCTTGCCAGTGTTCATGCAGCACTGAAGGAAAGCTTGCCAGAGTCATCTCTCCTCGGCTCTGTGTCTTTCTGACACATGTGTTGGGGGAATGAAAGATAGTGCTGTAAACGAGTCAAAGCACTTCACTTTTTCTGTTCATTCTCCAGGGAGCAGTACAAAGCAAAAGCTGGCTGTGTTCATCTTTTCGCTAGTAGCACACGCATAGATAACTGATTACATTTCAGGGAGAAGAGAACTTACCATGGGGCCAGGTGGGCCATGGGGACCTGGCGGGCCTGGCGGGCCTATGATCTGTATGTCCAAAAAATAAACACGGGTGTGGTTACTTCATTTAGATAAGGCAGTACAGCATGGGTCTTGTTCTAGGGCTCTGCTAATGCCATCAATAGTCATAGAGGAAGACGGACACAATGAGAAGTGTTATGCTTGATTCACTGGCTTTAGAAATTCCTGTATGAGACTCAAATAACTTCAAACACCGCAGTTGTTCTACAAAATCCCAGAGTAAATCAAAACTATATTAAAAGAAAAGGAAGCAACTGATTATCGGAGAAATTCTATAATGCTGCAACCACTATTAAACCCTCAGTTATTTCACTAAGCACAAATAGGACTCTGGAGAAAAAGGGAATGCAAGTTCTCATTTCACTAGGCTTTCCCTATGAGCATTATGGGAAATCCATTGATTTTTCTCCCCAGAGCTCTGAAAAATTGCTTCTAACTCAAACTTCTGAGATACGCTGTCTCTCACTGTGCAAGACCAACATATATCGGGTATCGTTTGATCCACCAAGTGAGTGACTGTATTTCTATTACCGGTTAGCCATCAGACACAGGGGGATCGGCAAATAATGATCCCATGTGGAGACCCAGCCCATGAACTTACAGAAGGACCCTGAGGACCCGGCAAGCCAGAGTCTCCTTTTTCTCCTTTCACTCCATTGGCACCCTACAAATAACCAGGAGGCAGAGTTAGCAGGAAAGTTTTTTCCAAGGTCTTACAGACAACTGACCTTTGAATGCTTGAATTTTTATATTATGCACATAATACATAAGAAATTTTATCCCCATGCACTTTAGTCCAAAGTGGTAAATTTATGAAAATCCCTAGGATTATGGGTGCTACACAAAGCAAAATACAAAGTAAATCGAAACGAGGCTGAGCCTGGTTGCACACTGCTAAATATACTGGGTTATAAATGTTGCTTTCTTATGGTGTGCTCACTTTAAATAGCAAAGGTGAGACTTTAGTTACACTGACATTTATTTATAGTTTCTGTTTTAAAAACAAGAGGAAGATCCACACCTGGTGGCACAGGCCTGTGATCTCGGCTACTTGGGAAACTGAGGCAGGAAGATCAAACATTCAAGACCAGGTTTGAGGGCGTGTTCAAGCTAGCCTATGCAACTTTTTAACGTAGAAAGTTTTTGTTTTGTTTTGTTTTTTGAGACAGGGTTTCTCTGTGGCTTTGAAGGCTGTCCTGGAACTAGCTCTTATAGACCAGGTTGGCCTCAGACTAACAGAGATCCACCTGCTTCTGCCTCCCAAGTGCTGGGATTAAAGGCGTGCACCATCACCGCCTGGCTTAACATAGAAAGCTAAAACAGGAGGATTTGAGATACAGCTCAGTGGTGGAGTACTTGATTGGCCTATATGGGGCCCTAGGTTCGGTCCCCAGGACAAGTTGTAGGGTGGGAGAGGGTGGAAGGCAGGGAAGTTTCTCTGTTTTTTTTTTCTTATAGTTTCTATATTTTCCCTTCTAAAGTTTCAGAGAAACAGCAAGAGGGTGGGTGGGGAGGCGGAAGCATCACTCTAAAGAATAGACCACCGCAAAGCATAGGCCACCCCAAAGTATAAACCTCTCCAAAGTACAGACCACCCCAAAGTACAGATATACAGACTAATCTGTTCTTTAATGATTCTAAAGTTTTATGTTTGTTTATTTCTTTATTGTAGCTCACTTTATGATAATTACTTGACTATACATATTAAATTCAAATGGCCAATTCTATTTGCTTTAGTATCTTCTAAACAAATTAATCCGGGAAAAAGAAACCAAACATACTTGCTTTTTTAATTGATGTGGCTATACTTTAGTGTCCCACTTGGAAAAACTAAGCAACAATACTTCAAGTTATTTCAAAAATTAAAAACAATTTGGAAATCCCTGGCTGGGAGTACAGTTGAGAATATAATTCTTTCCTAGTCATTCATTTTGGTAAGAGCATGTCTTACAGCATGAACATACCATAGGAGCATGTCATAGAGCATGAACATACCATGAGGGAACATCATAGAGCTTGAACATACCGTAAGGGCACATCATAGAGCTTGAACATACCATAAAAGCACATCATAGAGCGTGAACATACCGGCAATCCAGGAAGTCCAATTCCTCCTTTTTCACCTGGCATACCTGGGTCCCCCACATCACCCTTTGAGCCTTTGAGTCCCTACAAGTGATAGAGTTTGCATGTGAGAAGAGTAGTGACATCCTGGTAGGCACATTCTGGGGCCAATGGAATTCAGATAAATCTGCCAAGAGGTGGGTGCAAGCTGAGAGGACTATAACTTTTGTTTTCAGGTATTTTCTTTTAACAGTCTTCTACACTGGATCAATAATATTTCCCCATGTAATAGGATTAAGTTCTATAGACCATTTAAATATGAAAAACATGAACTCAGGTTTTGGCATTGTTTCTCCTGGTTTCATAAATTTGCTTGGCAACTAATTGTATCCTACCAGTCCAGAAGACAATGTAATGACCGTAATTCTTAACAGTACAGAAAACATTTGAACCAGGATTTAGTGTTATAATAGCAAAGATCCAAGGAAAGGTTCCCATTTCCACACAGTCATTCCCTCCTCTTTGTTGTGTGTATAAGTTCTAGCTGTCATCAGTTTCCAGCACCAATGTGCAATCAATGCTTTAAAACTCTCAGCTTGTTCCTGTTTGGTTCTCATGACATCTCCACATGGTGAGCCAAATGTAATTACTGTTCGTTTAGAATGAGAAAATAGATGTGTGGGTTTTGAATGCTAACAAATGTGAGTTATGGAACACTAACATTGAAATTAATTAATATTTTTAAGCATTTTCATCCTAGCAACCTTGTGGCAATATGACCAGATGGTCATGGTTACTATAGTAGGGGATTCATCTTAAGGACAAGAACACATATTAGTTTGTTAACTAGCTTTCTACTGAGTTCAGAATCATATACGGGGGAGTGGGGAAGTACCAGCAAAGATAAATATGTCTTGCTGTTTACTTAGGAGGTCAGTTGGTTTTAGGGATCTTGGGACAGAGAAAAGCAACAAGGCTAATCTGATAGGCTTAGTGGGAGAACAGGACCTTGCAAATACTATGGTAAAGAAATCCTAGCTACTGTACTTACTGTATATTTAGACACATTTGGTACATCACCATACAAGTCTAATTTGTTATCTTTAATTACTAACAAAGGAGAAAGGTTATCATTAATGTGATCTCTGATTGACATGGCAAATTGACTAACTTATCTTTTTATAATATTTAATGTGACATTATATGACTTTAATATCCAACTTTGTTATTAAAAATAACTCTTCTCCTAAAGGTAAGTATTTTTTTGTTTAATACTTTCTCCTGAAGAGTATATGTTTGATTTAGTACACCAAATCAAGAATTTCATTGATTCCTTATTCATTGATTCAAGCTATTTCTTAAGCATATTCAACTGTATTTTTCCTTTTTATTCTGTGTGTGGGCCTGAACATGATGATGTGTGCCACATGTATGGTGGTGCCTGTGGGGGCCGTAAAGGGGCATCTGGCACCATGGAACTTGAGTGACAGGTGGTGTGGATGTAGGGAACCAAACCCAGGTCCTCGGCAAGAGCAATATGTGCCTTCAACTAACAAGCCCTATCTTTCCATCCCTTGAGTCATTTCTTGAGAAAATAATAGAAGTCCATATAACCTCAAAGATTTTGAAACTAATCCTTGTGGTTTGATTCCTAATGCTGTCTGCATTCTCTTAGTAAAATCCTTAAAAGGCAGGGATGCCAAGCCACAGCCGACATGCCAAGTCCAGCCGAGGGACTGTTTTTATTTATGTTGAATTTTTAAAAGTAAGACATGTTTAAAGAAAAGGACACACAACAGAGACGATATGCACCTGCAGAACCTAATGTATTTCTATCGGAATTTTGCAGAAACTTCAGCAGCTTCTGTGTCGAGGACACTCTGAAAGATACTGCTATAGTGTGCAAAACTTTAGTGTGCAGAGCTTTACCGGGTGAGGCTGCAGTGCCTCACTTTCTGTCTAGTTTTCCAAAAGGTCTTGAAAATCAGGGGAAATCATTATACAGAAAAAGGACACATTATCAAATGACTGTGGATAGGTAATGCTATCTATGAAAACTATGGCTATTGATTTTGATATTTAATTCCTTATATTCACCTAAAAAACCCAATCAAACCAAAACAAAACCCCCAAAACCCAAACCCAAAGCTGTTCTTACTGGAGTAGTGATTTCAGAGTCTATTAGAATCTGTTGAGGCAGATTGACAGGTCATGGTATCAACACAAAACTTAAGTAACACATAGCTTTACATTCTGCTAACAAGATTTATATCTGGTTTAAAACCAATTACATTTCTAGATTTCAGGTGAAACAAACCATGGGAAAAAAAGAAAGGGTACATCAAATAGCAAAAGACAAGACTTTTGGCTTTAAGCCTATAATAAAAGTAGTGATCAATAATGGCGCTTTAAGTAATGGTGCATATCTTTGAAAATTACCTGTTCTCCATCAACTCCTGGAATTCCTGGAGATCCTTGCTCACCCTGGTAGAATAAAAAGAAAGAACTTGCCTGCATTTATCACTGCTACAGAAGCCACGCTAGTTGATACAAGTGCAGTTTTAGCAAATGCACTTTAACCCAAGAATATGGTGGTACAGTACATATATCTAAGCTAAGCGAAGGATGATCTTTCTTGAGAATTGCATGTAATAGTACTCATATGTAGCAACTATCTGCTGCTTTTTCTTTTCTTCCATTGGTCATGTACAGTTTAATGACTGACCACATTCTACAGCAACACTTCTATGACTGCATTAATTAAGGAAGGAATCGGTATAGATTCTCTAATTTTCAGTAACAATCAAAGCATAACTGTCGGACTAAGAAGGACTAAAAGGCAGAGTTTGGTAAATTTATAGCCATGTTTTAACTGGCATAATGTGGAACATTCATGATGGCCGTGGGTGTGCCCTGCCCAGGAAAACTTTGCTGGAGGATCTAATAAATCAGATATCTTAATCCACACAAAGTGGCTTTCAGACCCATTCCATTTCCTATGCTATGTCAGAAATGAAATAAATGGACTTTTAATAGAATGATTTATTAGAAGGTTTGACAGACTGGGAACACAGAGATTTTTTAGATGGAAGATGTTTAATTTAAAACAAATGTAAACAACATGCTAGAGATTATTTAAACAATACATGTTTAGCCATCTTTCAGATTTGAAAGGTAACTGAACATCAGTCTTTTGAAAAGCAAAGCATTGTTTTATACCACTGAGCTGTCTCCCAATATTACAAGCCCCCAATTTCCACCCTGTATAAAGTGTGAAGAGGATTCTGGGTGTGATCAAGCCCCCCGCAGAGGGGTTTCCCAGGTGCAGCTCAGAGGCTGTGTTTTCTAGGAAGGGTTGTTTGGGGATAGTATAAACCACAGTGTCCCATCCGCTAGAGCTCCCTTTCCTGGTAAAAACTTTAAGAGCTGTAGGCCACAGCATGAAACCTGAGATTTCCCAGTGTTTAAGGAAGGTAGGATCTTGTGGTTTCAAACCAGTGAAATAAAAAAGGCCTTCCCTCAGTTCGGATTTCCGGCTCTTTGTGGCAGTAGCAATGTTTATTTTGCCACAAACAAGTCTGCTGTGGTCGGATGCACCCGGCTGAACGCCGTCTTCATTCTGAGTCTGGATATCTGTCAACACTCTAGTCCAATCACTGCAGCTTTGTTGAACTGCTTGCTACCTTTATAAATGTGGACCAGGGAGGCTAAAAGAACAAGACTCACAGATTCTCCATCATTCAAATGTGGTCTGTAAGAGTTTTTTCATGTGTAAAACATTAAAAAGCCTCTTATTTGACACTGGAAGGAGGAATGCCAAGTGAACAGACTACCATCAGTCTGAGACCATGAGTCCAGATGTGAGAACGTGTCCTATACTTGCCTCCGGGTATGCCGCGCTATCTTATAGTGACAGACACACTCACCTCAATCATCCCAACTTTCTCAAGGACAGATTAATGGAAACATATAAAATGGTATTAGTGCTAAGACACGAGGATGGGTGGGCAGAAGATGACAGTATGGTGAACAGGATGGCGAATTGGCAGGTAGTGAGGAGGGATTTGATGCCTCTCTGTTACCACAGGAACAGATTTCCATATGGTTGCCATCTCTCTGTCTGTCTTTAGTTTCAACTCAAACCCATCTTGGACTTCCAGACTTAAATAGGAATTCCTATGCCTATCCACCCCACACACTTTTTAGAAATAGATTTATTTTTGTGTGCATTTTGCCTGCATAAGTGTCTTTGTGCTGTGTGTGTATGGTACTCCCAGAGGCCAGAAGAGTGTGTCAGATTCTCTGAGCCTGGAGTTAGAAATGGTTGTGAGCCACCGCATGGGTGCTGGGAATGGAATCTGGGTCCTCTGGAAGAGAAGCCAATGCTCTTAACCACCTAGCCATCACACCCTAGCCCTTACCCTACATACTCTCAATCAGAGAGCTTACTCTATTAGCGATCATGCCTTTGGGTGACTGTTTCACGCCCTGGGTTCTAAGATCATGGTTAAACCTCTTCCTGGTATTTTTGCAGATTCAAAACCATTACCAGAGAGTGAAGGCTCATAATTACCTCCTGGACAATTGAATTAACAAGTGGTTACAGAAGAAGAGGGATGGAAGGTTTGGTGAGGCAGCCTTGTTAGCTGGGTAGTCCTTTGTATTTCTTTGTATCAAAGCATGGAGCCTGTTCTAGGCCTCAGAGTTGTAGAGAAACCATAGGAGCTTTTGGGCTTTGTGGGAAATGAAGCACATAGTTAGCTTTGGAGAAAATTCTGGTTCTTGAGATTTAGTTTTGAGAGGAGAGAAAGCAGGAAATCTCATCTGAAGTGACACTACACAAAGGAAAAGAGAATTCCCAGAGTTCCTTCTATGTCTAGCTCAGCTCATCAAACTGTTAAGGAAAGAGGTCCAGGAAGAATGCTCGCCAGAGAGAAAGAAGTACACTGTGTGACTGTTGTGTATTTGTGCTATGATTTCAGGGACAAGACTATGCAGAGAATTGTTAAAAAGTCCCATACCATAGTTAATGTTATATGTGGAACTTGCTTGTGTTACACAAAAAATATTTTGGAAATTAGGATCTATGCCCCAAATACATCTCACAAAGACAAGGACCTCAGTCATATTTTATTTTGTAGTCCTTTAATAGAGAAATAAATCTCTCTATACACTGGACATTTATTTTTAAGTATCCAGAGAAAGTGCAAAAGCTAATTTGTGCTTGAATGTGTGTATGTACGATAGGCACAGCAAATAAACCAACTTAAGAAACATAAATGAAAAGTGAATTTTGAAACCACTTGAATCTCCTACAAGAATTCACTGACGAAAGTCATATTTCAACACGTGTAGCTCAGTTCTGAAAAGCCAGGATCCCTGGACATGTGCTAATTGCTCAGACATGGTTGAACAATGAAGCTTTAGTTTGGAGGGATAAAGCTAAAACCACCAATAAAGATGATATATAATCAAGGAAATTTCAGATTGTGCCGTTTGTGGTCAGCTTGCTTCATTCGATAAAATGTGTGGCAGAAAAGTCTGAATACAGGTGATAAAGAGAAGGCGTGTAAAACGTGTCTCGAGAATGGCTCCGAACCCTGCCAGTCATTTATGAAGGAATGCATCATGGGAAGGTTCTCCTTGTTCTTCTCTTAGGAGAGAATTAGAAGAAAGGGTCTTTCTTAGTGACAAGAGTAAACTGCCTTCAATCCTCGTCTGTCTGAATGTTGACCGGGTCCCATAGGCCACGTTGAGGGTTTCTTTACATTTATAATTTCTGGGGAACTCGTACTTTTAATACTCTGTACTTTTCCCAGTGATCCTTCCTAAGTTTGTGCCACTCAGCATTTCTCTCCATTCTTTCCTCATTTTGCTCTCTTCCTCCCCAGTTCTCCCTCTTCCTTTAGCTGAGGTTCCAATACCGTTTCCTCAACTTCTGAAACAGCATTTCTGGCCTTGCTTCTCTAGTACTTTGCAAGACATACATTCTTAACACAGCATCTCCACATTGCATGTGGTAAAGGGAAACAAGGAAGGGAGGATAACCTTTGGCCCTTGTAGTCCTTGAGGTCCAGGAGGTCCAGGGGGGCCCTGAATCAAGACAAGACACAGTTGTCAAATGCAGCAAGTGTACATGTTAACATTTCAGGCTTTAAAAATAACAAGCACACCACATAGCCCCACCATTTCTATCATAATTAGAGATGTCTAGATACTGATTTTCAATGTTTAATATGTCATCAGTTACATGATGACAAAAACTGCCAAACTGAGTTCTGAACTATCAGTACACTCTTCAAGTCACCATGCTACAAAAAAAGCTTTTGATTCAATGAAACGGTTGACAATTGCTGCCGCTGTTCTGCACACAACTTCTTGTGATAAATTACCTGCCTGATGTCACCCCTCCCTCCCTCATTAACCATCTACTTCAAAGACTTTGGTTTCTTCTCTTTCATTCCTTCTTTCTTTTCCTTCCTTTTTTTTTTTTTTTTTTTTTTTTGAGACAGCGTCTATCTATGTAGTCCCGGCTGCCCCATGTAGACCAGGCTGGCTTTGAACTTGTCTCTGCCTGAGAGTATTGGGATTAAGGGCATGTGCCACCATGCTCTGCCAAGGCTTTGGTTTCTAAGCTATCTTATTAACAGGAGTTTAAAGTCCTAAGAAAAAAAGCAGTAACTTTTTCTGAACTTTCCCACAGAACAGACAGTAATTTAATTAAGTCACATGTTTTAAAAGGTTAATAATATAAACATAAACACCAGATAAAACCAATTGCTACATTAGTACTATCTTGACCTGCATGCAACCCTATGAAATTCAAAGTCACAAACCACAGAGATCATGCAAAAGAGTTACCGTGACAGTTAAGGTAGTAATCCTCTGTTGGGAAAATGGATCAACAAAGACAAGAGTTACCTATTTTGTGTTTCAAAATAGTGACAGATTTCTGAAAAAAATCTACTTCTAAAATATGTTTTGACAAGTTAAATGTCTTTCAAGTAACAGACACTACGGTGAACGTACTGTTCTATCTTCAATACAACAGACTTGTAAAGGAATTGAAAGCATTTTTAGAATTTTTTTTAAAATTGTAAGAAAACAAATTTTCATTTGCCTGAATTTTAAGATGGACACAATTAAAAATTATATTGTTAAGAATCTGTATGCTAAAGGTTGGTCAGACTAATTGTAAAATTTGCCAGTGGTAAATCCATTCTAGATAGGATTTTCAATAGGGAAAAGTGAAATATCTTTCTTCCCTTACTCTGTAACTTATTTTTTACATTATAATTGACTCCCCCACCATGTGCTTTAACCAAAGAAAGTGAAATTGAACTAATCCAGCTTATTGTTTCAAAGCATGGACTTTGAAAACATGATTCCTACTTTGTGATTATGTTTTGTATTTAATAGTTTATAGTTTACATCTTTTTGTTTGTTTGTTTTTCCAGACAGGGTTTCTCTGTGTAGCTTTGTAGATCAGGCTGGCCTTGAATTCACAGAGATCCTACTGCTGGAATTAAAGGTGTGCGCCACCAACTCCTGGCTTATAGTTTATATCTTATGCTAAGAGCTCTATCTGGCTTATTGGAACATCAGAAAGTAATCATTTTCCATTCAGGTCTTTTGATTATAGAGAGGTATTGTCTAATGTTATGGAAACTTGAGGGTCTGGTCTTAACACCCCACCATGTGTTCCATCATTGCAATCCAATCTCTGATTCAAAACTTTGTTGCCATTTTTACTATTGTTGTTGTAAAAAATAACCTGAACTGTATCTATTTTACTTTAAATATTTCTATGACTCTTTAGTGACACAGTTCCTAACTTCCCTTAAAAAACCACCATGCTTATACATGTTAATGATTCAAGTTTGTATTGCATAATAAAAGCAGTTGATGTGATTATAGCTTTAGATAATGCAGTAAAAATGTCTGATGTTGCCGAGACAAAGGCAAAATGTCAATAAACTAAGAGCAAGTTTTTATATGCATCCAGAATTTTATGTCACCAGATCTATACAATACAAGGCAATGCTTACGCTATTTTAGAGAGGTTTTCCTAGGCACAACAATTGCATTTATAGTCTTGAGAAAGTTGTTTTGTTCCTTTGATATAAATGAGTCATTTACTAAGACAAGGAAATGACAGAGTAAAAAGAATTTCTTCACCATTGTCCTTCAATCATGTGTCGTATTTTTAACTAGAAAGCTGAATTACAAAATTTTATGAAGGTAAGCAGTTTTACAATTTGAATTATCTCAGATTTTCTAAGAAAGTTTTAAATATATATATTATATAATACATATTATATTTATATAATTGTATTCACACCGTTACATAAACATGTCTTGTTTGTCCTTTTTCTTAAAAAAGTTAATGCTAACAACATTTCTTTTAAAATAATGAGCTGCATAATAAAAATATCATTAGTGGCAAATGAACTAACAGAAGAAGTTGAAATAATGTACTAATAACTGTTTGAGAGACCTCAAAATTGTAAAGTTTCCAGAAAGGAGCAAGTGGTCACAAAAGTCAGCCAGGTTCACCAGCATAACACCTTGACCTCCCCCTGGAAGCAGTCATGTGCTGTTGACAGAGCTGCTGTATAAGTGGACTCTTCAATGTAAAAGCTACATCATCCAGGCAGGGCTCCCGTGTGAGTGCTTGTCCTGATGTGAAGGCCAGAGATTTTGGAAGTGATGGAGATACTCCAGTGAGAAGGGATCTGAGATGGGAGGTGGGAGCGCACAGTAAATGTCAGTCTTGGGCTTTATGACTCCTTTGGGAAGTTTGTATGAAAATCCGGTACAAATTATACGCTATTCTTCTTCCCTTTGCATAATGATGGGAGATTAAGTCCCTTTTACAGAAGCAGGAGACCATTACAGAAAGCCACAACGTGTCAAATTGCAGAGATCAACTGGCCATGATGGGGTGGGGGTGGGGTAGGGTGGGGGGTTGGGGGGTGGGGGAGAGGGGGAGGGAGGGCGCTCAGCCCAAACTGATACATGTGTAGTACAACTCTTTCACCTTAAGGGTCAGCAGACATCTAGAAAGAGGGGATGGAAAGTGTCTAAGAGGCAGAGGACCTGGAAAGTCTGTGAAACTACTCCTTCTAGATATGACAAGGGAAGCTACACTTGTAAAATGTCCAGAGTATTACTGCCTGAACAAGACCTGAGAATTCCAATAGTTGACATGTCAATGTTGAAGGGAGAAATATCTCAGGGCCTTCCACTCCTAGGTGAAGCAAGCAATGAACAACTTCTAAGAGAGAAATAATTAGTATTCCCTAGGGATATACCCCTGCTGTAGAAGAATCCTTGTACACTGTATTGCTCTCTCTGGTTAATAAAGAGCTGACTGGCCTGTGGCTGGACAGGATGGGGTGCGAGAGCCAGATTAGGAGGATTCTGGGGAGAAGAAGAGTGGAGTCTCAGGAGTTGCCAGCAAGATACAGAGGAAGGAGAAGATAAATATGCCATACTGAGATAAGGTATTGAGCTACATAGCAGAACATAGCGATATGGGTTAATTAAAGTTGTAAGAACTAGTTAGTAACAGGTCTAAGCTATCAGCCAAGCATTTACAACTATTATTAAGTCTCTGTGGTTACTTGGGAGCAGCTCAGACAGAGCTGATCGGTGGTTACGATGAAAAACTCTGCCTGCATCCCCTAAATGGTTGTCCTATACCAAGGGATCAACAGGCTGTATTCATACCCATTCCTTTATATGTAACAATAAAAGTTAATAAAGAAGAGGAGGCTGTGAATTTGAGGGGTGTAGGGGGGACAAGGGGGAATGATGCAAATGTATCTTAAGCACATAAAAAGAATCATTACGACAATAAAGGCAGTGTTAGTGATAAAAAATTTAAATCTGACCTAGGAAACAGATGTTTTATTGTTAATTATGAATCTGTAGCCACCTTGAATCAAAATAAAAGTCTAAGGCAACACTTACATAAACCACAACATCTATTCTATGGCCCAACATAATTTAACTACCTTTCCAACAGAATAGACACAAAGGAGTCATTTGAAACCAAGAACGTGGATAGCACATGTCAACATTGGAAATGTGGACATTTCATTGTGGGGAAGACAAGACTGGGAATTCTGGAGAAGTAATGGACAGAAAGAGAAGATGGGTCAGCAGTTGAAATAAATTCTTTTTTTATAATGAGATATGTTAATTTTTTATTTCACTCCATAACTTTAGCTTCAGTCAAAAGGCTATAATCAGCAGTTTGTCATACAACTTCAAATTTTGTTGATCATTTAACTACAAAAGAGTGGATGAAAACTATAAATACAGAATTCAGAATGCCAAATATCTTAGGTATATAATATGCAGAGTGCTTCAACTATTTTATCTCCCACACTGGATATCGGATACAGAGACATTACTTAAACTAGTCTTAATATCTTTTTCATAATCTGAACTATTTTGCAGAATAACATAATTCTAATGTGATACTGTAACTGTAATACATTCATATCCATGGAGTGATTCTAGAGTGTTAGAAAAAATGTTTTGTAAAGGGCATAATAATGAAATAAGCATCATTGGTTAGAAATTGAGGAGAATAAGTGTTTATCAGCTCTTCTCCCACTAATGCCTTCCTGATTTAATTGACTGATCTCATTAATCTCATTAGAGACTCTTAGTTGATTTATCTTATTGAAGACTCTTAGTCCTCCAGAGTACAAAGTCAGGAGAATGATGGCATCCTTCTTTTCAGCCTTCAACTGAAAAATGACTCTAAGCTCTTTATGAACATGGCATATGGCTGACCCAACAGTAATATATCATTGGGTTTGGAGATGGTATAAAATCATTGACTGTGATGGATACTAACTGGATACTGTTTACAGCCATATAGCACTTGAGGTGAAAAAAAGAAGAAAAGACACTGGAAGTGTGTATCTTTTCATTTCTGGAACAGCTGTCAGATTTATTTTCCAAAAAAATACAGTGCTTTCAGGAACTTGAGTAAAAAGTGCTCAGGAGCTCCTAAAAACTACCCTAAGGATAACACTGTATTTTACGAGCTCTCACAAAAAACATCCACCCCATTTTGCAGACAAGGTCAGTGAAGCATAGATTGGAGCTGGGCCATTTTAGGAAAATCATTAAGTGGTAGAGGGAAGAATGAAACAGAAATGTCCACTTCAGTATAAGCATGGCCCATATGCCTGTTCATGCAAAAGATGCTTTAAAAAACACTTCAAAACATTGCAGAAAAAGCCATGGGAGCATTTCTTGGAAGGATAGAGAGTGGGAGATCCTTGATGATAGTTTGGATGAGAAATGTCCCCTATGGGTTGATGTATTTTAATGCTTGGTCCCCAGTGGTGGCACTGTTTGGGAAGGTCACAGAACCTTTAGGAGGAAGTACACCACTAGATGTAGGCTTTGAGGGTTTATAACCAAGCCCAGCCCATCCTTATCCCTGCTCTCTCTCTGCTTCCTGTATATGGGCATAACACGCAGAGCTGTCATCCTGCTCTTGCTTCCATACCTTTGTTGTCTATCACCGTGTCTACCATGATGGACACCATCCTACTGGGACTATAAGCTAAAAGTTCTCCTCTACATTTTTTTAAGTCAGTAAGTCTACACAGCACAGAAAGTAACTGGACCACCTTTTACAGGTGAAGATGAGGCTTATAGGGCAACTGGAAGTAGTTTAAGAGGAATGTATAACATTGTTAATAAAGTTTAAGAGATGTCCCTGTTTTTACTGTATAAGAATTTAAAAAACATTTTAGGTCCCCCCCCAAAACCCTGCCTGTTCCTTGTCTCTGACCCTCCATATATAATTATCAACTTGTAAGGGGAAAGCGGAACATTTAGAAAATTGGCTCAAGATTTTGACAATAACCCCAAGGTTACTGTTTATGTTTAAGCCACTTGCAATGAGGGAGGGATGCTAAATTAGGCAGTTGGATGAATATATTATCCAATCCACATGTGTCCAAATAGGACGTATAAGTATAGGTCTATGAAAACTAGACCACAATGGTGAAACCATGAGGATAGAAACATTAAAATAGGAATAAAATAGAAGGACTTGTTAAAGTATCTAGTTTGTTTTTAAATGAAGAAACAGCTTGTACATAAAAATAATAACATTCATCCAACCACTAAATGCTAACTGTTCATTGCACATTTATAAGCCCAGGCAATATAAACATAAGACATAATTTCTGTTACCAAGAGACTTATAACATGGTAATGGAAAAACTAAAACCAATTATGTGATTAGAGAATAATCATATGTCATAATATTGGTCCCTGACTTCTCATGTGTGGACTTTGAGGGTGAACTCAGCTGGTGACAGCAGTGAGTTTATGGATTGGACTCAATGAACAAAAGAAAGGAAAAATAATGGGATGATCCCAGGTGAAAGAGATTTGTAGAGATATGGTAAGAATGACTATGTCATAGGAAATAAAGGAATATCTTGGCAGAAAAGACAGCACTGTAGAGCCTTAACTGATGTCAGATAGAGGAATTTGTCTTGATTGGGTAGGCTACAAGGACTCATGAAGATATTTGAGCAAATTAGAGCAATCAAAGTAATGACAGCTTATGAAAAATTAGCCTTAGAGACATATACCTGTTAGATTAGAAGGGCCAAGAGACGCCTGGGAGGCAGCTTGGCCACAGGATTGGTACAGTGTTAGGGAATAAACAGGATGTGGATGAATATTTGGGCATGGAGAGAATGAGTAGTGTTGAGATGTGTTTTGAGAAAGCTCCTGGTATAACATTGTAAAAAGGACTAATAACAGTTGTAAGGTGCCTCTAAACCATCTGTTCTGAGCAACAGGAAGAAGTATGGTGTCATCAAATGCTAGCAGTTAGTTGATAAGGTGAGTCATCGGGTAGGTGAGAAAACACCCAGCAGAACTAAGTGTGTTTGTAGAAGTCAGTAAGAAAAGCATGCAGCCACGGAGGAACTCTTCCAAATGGCTGGAGCCATCCACAGACTGGACCCCAGAAGTCACAGAACTGCTAGGAAGCAACTTGCTACAACACAGAGGGAGTAACCGTTCTACTAAAGGAAAGATCAGAGACTTGGCTAGCAATAAAGTGTCAGGATGGATAAAAGGTGTGAAGTGCCAAAATAGAATGGCTCCACTAGAGGGAAGGAATGAAGGAAACTAGAGCAGAAGGCCACATAAAGCAAAATGCTTTTTGAAAGGAAGGTAGTTTGGTATAAATGCTACGGCAAAGTCAAGAGTGGCGATTATGACCGACTTCACCTGAAGATCACCACCGGGTGACGACAGACACTATAATGTACGTGTATAAACATAGAAAGGGTCATACATTTAGCCATTTGCTATCAACAACCCAGTGAGGTGGATACCGCTAGTATCTTCATTTCAAATATGGAGAAACAGAGGCTCACAGAAGTGAGAGAACCAGCCAGGTCACCTCTCTGGTAAGAAAGACAGTTGAAATCTGAACTCAAGCAGTTCCTGTTCAGCGTGGTGAAATAGAGAACTAATTGACGAGTCACATGGACCCACTGTGGTGATGTGAGTGAGGACATTTTCTATAGGCTCAGGTATGTGAACACCTAGTCCCCAGTTGGTGATTCTGTTTGGGGAGGTGCTGCTGCCTTGCTGGAGGAAGTACGTCTATGGGGGCGGGCCTTGCTGGAGGAAATACGTCAACGGGGGCGGGCTTTGAGAGTTCATAGCCTTGCTCCACTTCCAGTTTGCTCTCTGCTCCGCGTTTTCAGTGAAAATGTGAGCCCTCAGCTTCCTACTCCTGATGCCGTGCCTTGATACCACTACGAACTCTAACCTTCTTAAACCATAAGATAAAATAAACTCTTTCTTCCGTAAGTTGTTTTTGGGCCTGCTATTTTATCTCAGCAACAGAAAACCAATACACTTATCTGTGTGTGTCATTCTCCATGTGTCTTAGGGCAGAGAATAGTCACTTGCCTGTAAGGCCTCGTGGAGGTTGCCATTGTAGTCTATGATCTCGGTAGCTCCTGGATCTCCCTTTTGCCCAGGTGGACCCTGTGACAAAAAGCAAAGCAAGGGAAGGTCATGAGTGTTAGACTAGTCTACAAGATGATGGCAAAAGTGGAGTAGCTCACGCCCTCCGTGTTCATTTCCTCACTGTGGTGCAAGTACGTTTCAGAATACTATGTTTAAATTCTGTTCATATTGTAAGGGAGATGGGCCATGTCTAACTTTCTGTCTATGGCAGATGTGAAACTGACTCCAAGGACACAAGTAATCTTTGTGCCTTGCAGAGTATAATTGATTGCATTTATTATGGCAACCCCAAACCTCCTTCTATTCATTTACAAATCAGAGGTTGCTTCCTCATTCCCTAAGAAGAGAGCAATGATGAACCATGTTCTGTAGGAAATGCTTGCCTTCCTCAGTAAGAATCTTATCCATATTCCCCAACTTATCCAAAAATAGAGGAAGTGGAAGCCAAGAATACTATATACCCACAAATATACACCCCCCAGCAAGAACACACAATGTCTCTACACAGTCTAGACTTCTATTCTACCCATATCTGCTGCACACTTTCCATGGCCTGTGTCGAGGTTCTCTGACGTTTCTTTCTTTCTTTTTTCTTTTCTTTCTTTTTTTTCAAGACAGGGTTTCTCTGTATTGTTTTGGAGGTTGTCCTGGAACTCTCTCTGTAGACCAGGCTGGCCTTGAACTCACAGAGATCCACCTGCCTCTGACTCCCGAGTGCTGGGATTAAAGGCATGTGCCACCAATGCCCAGCTGTTCTTTGACTTTTCTAAAGAGTATAAATATATGGACTATTGCCTTAACTAAAAAATAGATGTCTCATTAGCTGAGTTTCTGTGGCTTTATACTACTTTTTCCCCAGAATTAAGTTTATTCTATGGTAAGAACCTCTACATGACCTGCTCTTAAATAAAAAAATGAAGAGCAAGGAGGAGGCTAGCAGTGGGAATATCACTTCTACCACTAATGACCTTGATTGGACACTGTCCATTCAGATGATTCTTACAGTCACACCATCATAATCTTAAATCTGAGCTTAATACAAGAGGAATACTCACCCGTGGTCCCATAGCTCCAGAGTCCCCTTTGTCTCCACGATCACCCTTTGCCCATGAAAAAAGAAAATCACAAATTAGCAGCAAGGCCACTGATGTAGACATCCATTACATCTAACCAGCTATTTGTACTCCACAGCATGACTTTAAACACGAACGGCAGACATATGAAGCAGCCACCACCACCATTGTAAACATCTCCTATGGATGCCATTGATGGGTAGGTAAATGTCTTCCTCAGAACACAGGGTATGCTGAACAATCAGACAGGCTATGTACTCTGGCTAGGATTTGCAAAAGCAAAGTGAGTGATTTCTAAGGCCCCAAAGTAACATTTATCTCGACTGAGCAGGGTTGTTTTCTTTTGAGGGGATTTTGAATTAAGGGAAAAGGGACAAGCCACTGTGGCATCTGGCCTCACAGAAGAAAATACAGATAATAGGGACAGGAAGGAATAGAGAGATCATTCTAGGGAGAATGGGAATTTACAGTCAGAGGCTAGAGCTCCCTCTGATGACAGTAGCTACTTTAACACTACTAAAGTTGACAGCAGCGAGCTAGACCAGGTTGGCCAGACTTCCTTTGTCTCAGCTCTCCCCTTCTCTCTGTCCTCACCTTTCTGCCTCTTCCCCTTTACTGTTTCAAAGTAAAATGAAATCATCTCTGGAGTTTTATTTATGGTGTCATAACCCCACCCACTGAGACATCAAGAATAGACTGTGCTCTCCAAATGATCAGAAATCTAAAATGACAAGTAGTGGAAACTATTAAAATCTGTGTATATTTAAAGGTTATTTAAAACAGTTTAAAACTAGAAACCCCTTTTCTATATGAAACTCAAAACATCTGTTTCTTTACATATGAAGTGAGTAAGGACCAATGATGATAAGGAGAAAGGGGGTTACAATTTTTCTCATGCATGTTATACTAGTAATATGGGTCATAACAATTAACTTCACCATGAATAGGGAATTAATGGCCTCTAATCTCTAGTCCCATTTTGTACTTCTCCCTGTTATTAACTAACAGCATTTTAAGACACTGTATACATGTTATTTCAGATAGTATAAGCATCATGACAAATGGGTAACTTTGCTATTGGGGATGACACTTTATTTTTATTATTATTTAATTGTGTGCATGTGTCTGCATTGTATCACAGAGAGTGTGGAGGTCGGAGCACAACCTCGGGAGTCAGTGCCTGTCACCTTCCACTCAATTTGAAACAGGGTTTCTTTCGTTGGTGATTTCCACAGTGGTAAGGCAGGCTAGCTTCTGGGAGAGTCCCTTGTCTTTCCTCCTATCCTCTTGCAGGAAGGAGTACAGGTATTACAGATGCCTGAGTTATCTTGTGGGTTCTGGGGATTCAAACTCAGAGCCTCTCCTTGTACAGTAAGCAGTTTTACTCACTGAGCCATGTTCTAGTCCTAGGGTGATAGTCGAACTCTCTAAATGGAGTTACATAACAAACCAAAGTACAACAAGAACATTTGTCAACAAAGATAATGAAAGTTAAGAGCATACAATTCATAAACTGTCTGTTTTCCCGAAAAAGCTAATCTCAGGAAACAGGACACATACCCTTTCTTAAAGAACAGCGTGAAGGTGGCTGGCGAACAGCTCAGCAGGCAGAGGCACTTGCCACCAAGCCTAACAACTAGAGATCCATCTCCAGATCCCAAGGGTGGACAGAGAGAACCAACTCCCACAAGTTATCCTCTGACCTCAACACGTGTGTCGTGGCACACAGCAAAACACACACACACAGACACACACACATACACACACTTAAAACAGTAGCCTAATAAAAAAGGAAAATAAGAATAGCCTGAAGGATAAGAGCAAATAAAAACAAGGAAAAAAAAGCTTTGATAGAATCACAGGGACAAACTGAATGTAAGCCCTGAAGGACAGGCTTCATCTACAACAGGATTCTTTGTGGAAAAGGCAAAAGACACGTATCTTGAAGGCCTGAAGTCACATCAAAATGGTTATTGGTTACTAACCTTTGACCCCTTTGGGCCTCTAGCTCCTGATTCACCTTGTTTCCCCTATTGTAAGAGAGTGAAGATGAGAAAAAGAGTGACAGGAAGATAAGAACAGCATCTCAGAATGAAGAGGATCATGGACACACTTTATCTTAACTGTCCGACACAGTGCTGTCTGTACTGTTATCATAACACACAGAATACACATTGCTGCAGCAGGAACTCACTCCCTGTTCTCTGCCAACCTCTATCCATTATGACTCCAAGATTGTTTTCCATCAGTGGCTGGGGAGAGCTCTGAAAGTGACTCTTAGGAGTCTCAACAGTGCTTCTATGCTTAGACTTCTTTTTCACAAGAGACTACATCACTCCTGTCTCCAAGAGAGGTTGGCTATTAGAGAAGAGTACAACCATGTTAGTTTGTACAATGTTTAGGTAAATAGAGATTGCATAGGCAAGTAAGTCCTTAGCTCTAATATTTTGGAAGGTGTTCTACTCCATTAAGTTACCATGGAAATGAACAGAGCACTCAGCAATGAGGTTTTTCTCAGCTGGCTGTAAAACACATTGTGTGATAGTTTGTAACACGACAGAAACTCTCCCTTTATATTCAGATACATTATTAAATTTCTTCACTGAGCTGCACAGAGTAAACAAGAAAAGTCAAACTGCAAAATCAATAACTATCAGAGTACATTTCAATGAGGTGTTTGTAATTTGGGTTACTTTAGTATCTGTTGAAGAGTAAGCTGCATATTCTACAGCAAGAGGTGAGCACTCCCAAACTAAAGAATGCTCCTTTCCAATATATGAATAACTGACCTTTGGTCCTGGGGCTCCAGGATCCCCTCGTTCACCTCTTCCAGGAGGCCCTGCCTCTCCACGTTCACCCTGTCACAAATTGCAAAACAGGTAAATAGCAGCCTCTCCATGGCTGTTCTTGGAGAAGAATAGGGAGTTTGATAAAATGGAGGTAAACAGAGAGCCACCGCTAATTTACAACATGCCAGTACTATGTTAATCTCGGAACATGAACAACCATGTTTCATACACAAAACCATCTGAGATTGTTAACTTTTGGTGCTATCTTGGCTAGGTTAAAGAGCATTCATGGAGCTGCTTAAGCAGTCTTATTGTTTTTATCAGGGTGTTTTCAGAGGAGATTACACATTGGCCAGTGGACCAAGTGGGGAAGGGTTACCCCGAAAATATGTAATCGTTGCCCATGTGGCTTAGGGATGGATAGAACAAAGGCAGAGGACAGACAAGCAGTGTCTGTCCCTCTGGAACACCTCTTCCTACTCATGACACCACGGTCAGTCTTCTGTGCTGATGGTAAGACCAGTACCAGGCAAACACGGTATCTCAGAGCTTAACATCTGCCCAGCAGTTTCTGTACCAAGCTTCCATGATTGGGAAACCTTCAGACCTGGACAGAGGCAGGCTACTAGGATCCTTCTAGCTTGTGTATAGCCGGCTTCTGTGGGACATCTTTACCTCTGTAATCACATGAGACAATTCTCCTAATAAACCCCTTCCTTAGACACACACACATACACACACACACACACACACACACACACAGACACACACACAATCTATCTAACTACTGACTCACCCACCCATTTAGTTCATTGATGTTGGTTTTGTCTCTAGAACGCCCTAATGCATAAATGTGTAATTCTGCTTCATAATCACCATTTTATAAATACGGACTTTGGTAAATGCCTGTTAGGTGGCTATGGGGATCAATGTAAAGACTTAAAGGGCATCAGTATGGTCTATTATTATTATTATTACTATTGTTATTGAATGGACATCTATTCACATTCTGTAGCAAATTTTAAGGAATTCCAGCAAAAAAATCTCACTGTGGAGAAGTTCCATGTTTATACTCTGGTATCCTGTTTTGTTTGTGTTTTGTTTTGTACTTTGAAATTCAACGTTTCTAGGCTCTGACAAAGGCACAGGACAGACCCTTTGGACAAGCCATCCGTACTATAGATATCTAGATGCCATTAGTCTTCTTCCTTAGGATATGCCTTCATTGCCCATTGAGTTAGACATACCATTTTTGTTTATGTTTCAGATCTGTTGTTAGGGGTATGAACCCAAATTATCTGCAAAAATGGTAAAAGGCCATTATTGGGTCAACATAGATTTTTCAAATTGGAAATTTTCCCATAAGACACAACTCTTGTTGAGATAGGGAACTCAGCTAACAATTAAGTTTAGGATATTGCTAAAAATGACTTTCTATGCACAAACTTGCTTGTAGCAATGCCACCCAGGTGTATCTCATCTCTTCCCTCTCCTTGAGGTTTAGGGTAAAGTATCTGCTCTTCAGAGTCTTGCTGAGTCCTTCAGCACTGTGGTTACTGCCAGCTTTGTGGCTCTATATCTGGATCTCTCTCTCTCTCTCTCTCTCTCTCTCTCTCTCTGAAACTATGGAATAGTTTAGCAGTTTGCTATGAAAAGAGATTTTAAAGATAAGTATCTCTACTAGCTGAGTTTCTTCTACCTTCCCATCTAGCAAAATTCTTCTACAGATACAGTTTTCAATGGCCTCCCCTGCTGGGCCTCACTCTCGCCCTGTACTGGTGGATCTACTCCTCCACCTCCACCTGGCCACTTTCTCCTCTCTCCTGGCTTTACAGCTTCAAGCTCAGTCAATACAACAGTTCTTATATCAACAGACAATTTATTTCCTTTCTGTCTCTGTCTTTCCCTCTCAGAAAAGTCTATCTTGTGTGAATCTAAAACAGGATTTCTTTAATGGACCTGATAACACATGTGTGAAAGTGGGATTTCTTTTTGAAACAGTTTTGCATAATCCTATGAGTCCCAGTCCCCCTAGGCAATGAATAGTTTCCACTTGCTAGGATTAGAGTTATTTTCACTTGACCTAAGCAGAAATGAAGAGTAGTCTGTCTGAATAAACCATGACATAGTTCTCTAACTGTTGGAAATCACCCCTGGCCTATTTCTGGCGAACTGAGAACTCACCAAGGGAAAGTCTGCTGTGGTTTAAAATAAATAAATATAAGTTGATGCCACTTAGCACCTTTGATTCATGAGTATTCAATGAGCACAGCTTCATCATCAGACTCCTATACTTTTATGTCTTACTGGGCAAATAAAGAGAATTCTGTACTTGGCTCTGTTTGTATCACTGTAATCTTTTTGCATGGCAGCATGAAGCATTTGCTTTCAGGGTCCTCTTTAAGGTTGCCAAGTAGAACACTGAAAGATGGTTTTCATTATAGAATAGTCTACAAACATCATTCAGGGTAGATCTTTTTGGGATGCAGTATTTAGAAATCTCTGTGACATCCATGGGGATGAGATTAATACCCAATTGACAAGTACATCCTAAAATGGGTGAGAAAGAGCAGGGACTGGTGAGCTATAGCCCTCTTCTCTCTCAGCTACCTTTCCATGTCATCAGGAGGCTAGTGGCATCACACTTACTGAGGAATCCAGAGGGCAAACTTGAACTACCACTATATTCCACCTACCTGCTGATGTGCCTAGAGTTTCCTGGATATAACTTCTAACTGCATGCCATTAATAGATGGATCAGACTGCCTCCATTCCAAGGCAGAAATATATGGCCATCTAAATAGTGGGGTCTTCCCACATTTCTTTCAGTAGGGATGACACAAATTTTACAGAAAAGCAATGGAAATTAAGTTCTACTTACTTTTGTTCCTGGTAACCCTGGTAAGCCCGGCTCTCCTTGAGGACCAATGAAGCCTGGTTCTCCCTTAAAAAAGATGGGCATGCAAGACATTATTCACCTGACAGCAGGCTCAGTTCTTCCAACTGTGATTTTACTTCCTTGATTGTGTACAAGCATTCTGGCTGAGATCATACTACTCACTATAAGATGAAAACTCTGAGTGGAGCTCCAGAGATGCTTTAGTGAGTGACATGGTCACTGGATAAAGGTCTTCATAATAATTCCTTCTGTCATCTGTTTGGTGTTTCTTGTCATTTACCACACTAAGACCTGTTGTGTTTGGGTGGATCTAGAGAGGCCTATAAGACCCCATGCCTGGGTCCATAGCCTTGTGAAATCTCTTTCTCTTGAGTAGAGAGTAGGCTCGATATGTAAATCTAGTGAATAAACTATTCTGGGAGCGATGGGACATCACATCTGGTCTAAGATGTGAAGAGTGGCTTCTGTTTGGGGTAGGTCTTTCCTGTATTTTCTCACTTGGATCACATGCTTTGCCCTGCTCTGGGTAGCCCGATTGAGCTGCCACAGTGTGAGGACTGAGGTCTGTTAAGACCTCTGCAAGGAATCTTGGGAGTGGATTCTCCATCCCCTCGGAATCTTCTAAAGAGAACACAACCCTGGATGCCTGCTCCACTGCGTCTCTCTGGGGACTCAGAGCCAGTCTCACCTGCCATGCTCTGCCTGAATTACTCTTGCAGAGACTGCAAGCCAACAGTTTCAGCAACTACTTTCTAGGGTAAGGCAGTAGGCAACAATGCATAACTGATACAATGAATACGACTGGGGGAGAGTAGTAATGCTCAGCATGAAAATCCCTCTTCTTGCTATAACTCTCAAATATTATCTCTACTACCTGGAGGAAATTCATCTGTGGCATAATAAATGGTACCAGGTCTTGGCCCAGATCTTCCAAGTCTTAGATTACTCTGGGCTACAGGAATGATAAGGGACATCTTTTGTTGCCTGTAACTAGTCCCTTCCAAGAAGACCCTAAATGAGCCCCCTAGATACTGTTAAGGTATAAGAAAACAATCTGATAGCCAGAAGATTGGAATTTCTCATTCTACTTCTTAACCTATGGGAAAGGGAGAATGGCTGGAGAATGAATTCAATCACTAGAGGGTAGTGATTTCATCAATCATGCAATGGAATCTCCATAGAAATCCCTAAGTGACAGGACCAGTGTAGACTTTCCCAGTCAGCAGACAGTTCCATGCCAGGAGGGTGGAACATTCAGATCCACAAGGACAGAGGCTTTTGGGGCCAGGGATATTCTAGACATGGCCCTATTCACCGGGCCATTCTTTTCCAGATTTTACAATAAACTATAAGCACAGTCACAGCACTTCATCTTCCTAAACTGGGACTCATTCTAGACAGTTCCTCAAACATCAGAAGATGTACCGATAATCCAAGGAAGAACCTGGGAATTTGCTACCTGCCATGGAAATGAAGTTTATCTTGCAGGGTTGGTCGTGAAACCTGTGACATCTGAGACTAACAAGGACAGCTTCAGAATAGGACTGAGGGATCTAGCTGGAACAGCAGGATATGATCACCATAAAACATTTCAGGTGACACACCCACTACTCACAGACTTATTCTGACTTGGGCACTCAGAAGGTAGGAAGTGATGGGTTGGGTCTCGTAAGTGAGGTTGACAGTAAGGTTGTTTCCTATAGTTCTTATTCTACTTGGCACCACAGTCAACCATCTCCTAGGAGGGAAAACCTGGCAAATTTGTCATACCTCTTAATATTCCAAAATAAAAATCTGAACTCAATTCAGAGAAGTCATTTGTAATTCCACCTTTAGCAAAAATAATCTGAGTTGTGATTTTATAAACAAAAATACTACAAGGAATACATTTATTTATAAATAAAAGATTTCTTCTATTAAAGTAGTATTTAACATGAATAGTATCTTCTCTCCACTTTCAGGAGCAATTCTGGAACAAATAAAACATTGTTCATGACGGATGTCCCGAAATTGTAATATAGAGGTTGAATATTTGCTTGTCAACTTGTACTCTTTACACATTTTCAAGCAAAAATAAAATGATCTCTTCAGCCAGTCAAGTGAAAGCTTCATTAAAGCATGTTAATAAAAGGAAGGGACAGAAGTCACAGGAGCACGTTCCTCATGTGAGTTAGTGTTTAGTTTACAGAAATGTCAAGCATGCAGCTGCATTATTCACAAATAAATAAGACTTTGTTATCTCAGCAGCTAGATAAATGCATTTTTTCTTCCTTTTAAAGACACATTAAATTTCTTTAGTAGGTAGTTCAGGGTAAAATGATTGAATTTCAAGAGATAAAGTCAGAGCAGATTTGATAGTTTCAGTTATTTTAGCACTGTTGCTCTTATATGCTTTGAAAGGCTTTTAGTATGATTAGTTGCTCATGACCACCACTGCAAAAAGTGCCAGTCACATGTACATCTTGACAGCTTTCCTATTCCAATGTATTCAAGGTAAACCTGTCCTATCTAGTTACAGGATCACAGCGCTGTGTCTGCTCAGTCACTTTAAGGCCACAGCTCCATTTTCTCATCTCATGGTGGGATGGGGTAGGGAAACTCACTGGTGTCTTCTCTTTCACACGTCAGAAACCACTGCTGATATAGTCCAGACCAGGCCTTAAAGGCTGGATTGTTTCACAATATGCAAAGTCATTGCTTTTGCCCTTCCGCATCGGAGTATGGGCAGCTCATGATGTGGCTTCAGAAAGTTTAAGACCCAGCCACTCATGGAGCTCAGAGGTTATATCAAAGAACACCAACAACTCTATCGGAATAAGCTGTTAAACTAACCTTTTCTTGTCTAATTACCTATCTGAGATGTGTCGTCCTGAACAACAAATTGAGAAACTGAATGTAGAAGTGTGGATGAGAATCCAGCTGTCATCTTTTAAGCCAGTCAGTAAAGAGATTTTAGGGGGAAGAAACCCTCCACATACCAATGTTATCATCCTTACATTTTTTATGGTCTTATTTGGCAAAATTCAGTTTTATTACATAAAACATGCAATCTAACAATGAACAAAATGTCTCCAGTTTAATCTTGAAAAAGATATATTTTGGTTGAAGTCATTTTTCTTCAACTCATCTGCTATTACCTATCCACCCTTCCCCCAGGCAACCAATCCAAGTATCTCACTGTAATAGCAAGGTGAAACTTTCTGGATAAAAGTTAAAGAGTAGACAGATTAAGGAGCCATATTAGCCACTACAATCCTGTCCACAAACCATGAAAGCAACAACAACTGCCCTTCTATATTATAAAAACACAAAGGAAAGCCAGGAAATTTTTAGGGGCATGGCTTTTCTGAAATCTAGTGACTGCTGAAGGTTTCATGAAGTCCTATGATTCCTTAAAAGAATCTTAACTGACTTTCTAAGAACATCAGGGGAATATTTCAGACAGCCTTACTCTACCTTCTAAACGGTCACTGGGATAGCATCCATAAAGGTGAGAAGAACCAACGAACACTTAGTGGGAGTTGTTAGTCCAATGAAGAAAGGAAGGAAGAGTGAGAGAGAGAAAGAGAGAGAGAGAGAGAGAGAGAGAGAGAGAGAGAGAGGCAGTTTCATTTTCACAGAAATGACTTGCCAGATGTTTCCAGATAGACTTCCAGAACATTCCATCTGTTAGGTAGAATAGTGGCCAGAAAGTCCTAACTGATTAGTTCTTACAGAAAAATATCTGGTTTTTCATTTATTACTATTTGCTTTATTTTCATAAGCCATGATCAATTAAAGGAGTAAAATATATCATTTTCTTAACCTGTCTGAAAACTCTCTCTAGACCAAGTCATGTTTTCTGTGATATTTTTTGTTCCTGAGCAGATCTGATTTTCATTGTCCCCAAAAACAGTACCACAGAGTTTGAAAAATATGTGCTGATTTGCCTGGGTGCTAAAGGCACCTCCCCAAAATGTTGATTAATGTGTCTTGACATAGAATGCATTAGCCATGCAGTGTTCTCCTTGCTTAGAGGATAATTAGAATTCAAGTCAGCATGATACCTGCATTTGAGAATTACAGCAGTAACATTTGTTACACTAAGAACCGTGAGGCAGCCAGTTTGGGTAATGACTGATTTCTAGAATTATTGAGCGTGGGGGGGGTGAGAAGTGGAGTTTGCCTCTAAAACACTTATTACTCTAAGGATAAAATATGAGTATAAATTAAAACAATTTAGTTGCTCTGTTGAAAATGAACTCAATAGTGAATTTATTTAAAATCCACAAAAATCTGTCTTTTGGATTTTTTTAAAAACAGATTTGCATCATGAAGGACATGCAGTGTATTTGTTGGAGGTTTCATTATGGTTGCTAAGACCCTCTGATTTCTGTTGCAAGAGTTTCCTAATTGAACTTAGGAACTGAAGTTACCCAAGTCTTCAGGTAGAGTCTGGGCAAACAGAAAGTAGTTACAAGCCATAGTAACACAGTGTGACCTGTCTACCAAGTGTGTCTTTCCTCTATAAACTAATTTTATATCCTTACATTTATCTCTGCCAGTTTTGAGATATGCCAGTGTTTCTGAGGACTGAACTTCATTTGTCTTCATCAGATTGAGAAGATACATTTGCTAATCACAGAGCACCAGGCCAGCACTCAATCCTGGGAGTGTCAAGTGAATGTCTCTTCCTCCCGTGGAAACTGCTTTCAGGTCCAGGGGGGATTTCATATGACGTGGGGTAGTTTGCTAGAAACTTAGAGCCTTCTGCCTCTAAGTTCTTTATCTGAATGTCCAGTTTTCACTAACGTGGAAGAGAGAGTAAAACCATTAAGCACCAAGGAAAGGTAAACCAGGAAAATATACTTGATACTTAAATAGCTTTTTATGATTTAATGTAATGTATGCTGTGATATATCTTCCCTGCCTACTTAGAACTTGACTTCTTCATTTGGCAAAACAAGCTGCTTTTATCTTTTGAAAGAGAAAAGCAAGCACTGAGAATCTGTGAAAAAATATCTTGAGTTAGGCAACACTGACTAGAAAGTTCAGAACAGTAGCAG